AATATTTCATTTACCTTTTTGTTTTGTGGAACCTTTTATTGAGAGAAATTTTAGTCAAAGTTAAACCAATATTTTTAATGTTCTTTTTTTCAAATGCAAGTGGTGAGTGTATCGTCATACCGGGATGTATCTTTGTTGAATGCGAGACAACTTGCATGGCAGCAAATGTCTAAGGTGTCCCATGCAGTCTATTTGATTGATGGATTGATCACATATGTAATTGTTAATTTTTGTAGTGTTTTTCTATTAACAAGTTGGAGATTAAAAAGAAAAGGTAATGGTGGGTGTTACTTCCTTTCCCAAAAAAAAAAAAAAAAAAAAAAGCATATTGAAAAATTATTTACTATTTTAATATAACTACTTAAAAAACTGAGGATGATGTTAGGATCTTAAAAAATCATTTAATATTTTCATTAGTATGTTTTGAAATATTGAAAAATAATTTAATATTCTAATAGTCTAATCATTTATTGGCTTGAGTTGATCTTAAAATGAAATAAAATTACTTATACATTGTTATGATCTTAATTAAGAAAACTTATAAAAAAAAATTATCCTAACTTCTATTTAATTTAATAATATAACGTTATAATTCTTTTTAAATTAATACAAGTTAATTTATATTTGGTCCCACTAATTTTATGAAGAAAATGCTCACAGCATCAGAGGTAACATCATGTTAGGATCATTTATTGCCTTTCGAGTGTCCAAAATGAAGAAAATGGTTAGTAAATTATAAATTAGTCCCTCTAATTTTATGAAACAAAATAATTAATCCTTCTTGTTTCAAAAAAATTATTTAGTTTTTTAATCAGTATTTAGCATATTTAATTTAATATTATTTTTATTCTACAAAATCTTTTGTTTTTTCATCAATTTTTATATATTTTTCCTTTTCCTATTTCTTTAAAAAAAATTAAAAATGAGAAAAAATGACCAAATTACAACTAGATTTCATAATCTTGAGATTAAATTATTAGTTTTTAAAATAAAAAGAATTGATTAACTTGTTTCTCAAAACAATAAGGACTAATTTATAATTTACTCATTTTATACTTTTGGAGTAGCCGCCTCAGTTTGGTCTTGTAGGCCCTTTTTATTGTGGAGGTGGAAAATTATTGTTTAGCGTAGAAAGCAATTTTTCTACAGAATGTAAAAACGTGCAGATACTAATCAATTTCTTTTGAAATTTGCTTGTGCTTGTGCTTTTATGCAAAGCAAGTGGCCCAAAGAGAAATGCTACCCTGTAGAAAGTGAGTTGAAACTTTCTAAAAAGACTTTTCTTAATTAGCTCATAACTAAATAAAATTTCAATAATAAAAATAAAAGTATTTTTAAGGAAAAGGATGAATGATCTTCAAAAATTTTTATTCTGAAAATTACAGTAAGAATTTGATAGTAATTACTGCCATTCAAATTTTCGTATTTGCTGAATTAATACATGTTAAAACCAATTCGACAGCGGGGTATTGAGGAATATTAGTTTGGCCTGCCTTGATATTAATGGACAAAACTAACAGGCTCCCATTACCAAGTCTATTAATTAATTAATTTTAATTCTATTTGGATTTAGTTAAAATTGGCACAATAATTTTTATCTTTACCGAGAACACTTTTTTTTTTAATTATATTATTATTGAAAGAATACACTAATAGTAATACTCTCTCGTTGATTATATCATTGTTCTTTTTCTTTTTCTTTTTTTTACAATAATGATATTATCTGGTTAGCTTGCACATTACTTGAAATTAAATTCATTTTCAAATGAAGGACGTATTTTTCATATCTGGTTTATTAAGAAGAATTTAATAAAAAAAATTAGCCGTAATAAATTATTCAAAAAATGGAAATGGAGTTTAGTTTGACTTAGAAGTTGTAATAAATCTTACCAAGAGGTCTTTAAAGTATACACCTATCATGAAAACAAAAAGAAGATCAAGTTGATGCTTTTTTTTAAAAAAAATATATATATTTGTTGTAAGATCAAGTTGGTGTTAAACAACAAACGGAGAATGATATTTAGTACGGTTTTACCCTATAGTCGCCACCTTTGACTTTTTTCTCTTGATTATATTAATTAATTAAAGATGGTTCTCTCTATTTTAAGGTTAAACTACAATTTAAGCGTCAAAAGCTTTAATTGTTTTTTGTTTGAGTATTTAACTGATAAATTCTTTTAATTAAGTGCCCAAACTTTGATTTTAAATTGTCCAACTTTGATATTTTTTTTGAAAAAAAAAACCATCACATGTTAATGAATTCCTACCATATCATTATTTTTCAATTTTAAATAACTACATGAACTTTAAAAAAAAAAAAAAAAACGAAACGTCCAACAATCAAATTGGAATTTTTTTTTTTGAATAATCTAAGTTAAACTTTATTTATTTATTTATTTTGCTACGAGAACTATCATCACGTAACAATTTATTATAAACACATTTGTATTGTTGCTCGAACATCCAAATATAAAAACATACTGATTAGATAGTAGAACAAAAATTAAGTGTTTAAATTGCAATTTCCTCATAAGGTTTAAGAAATCCCTTAAACTAGTGATGACAAACAAATTCATTTATATAAAGCTTCCAAATCAATCTCTATCAAAGTATAATAGCTCCATGTTTAATTTATTACTTTGATGTTTCACAACCGTAGACAGCTACATGTTTATTTTATGACTTCCTTGGTTCCACCCTAAGTGCCTACCTAATACATGATTGGTCCATTACATTATTATAGATATTTCCTAAACGAAAACGACACCTCAATAGAGATTAAAATAATATATGTAAAAACAATAAATTATTGATCTTTAATAAATGAGTTGGTTTTTATATAAATTTTTTTATCTAATATTAAACAAATTGGTTTTTAAATTATTTTTTTATCAAAATATAGGATTCAAATTTTTAAATAATATTTATTAAAATTACTTTGAATATGATTCGTTTTATTTATAATGTAAAACAGAGATAAAAAATCAAAAACAAACTCAAAGTCGATTGCTTCAAATTCACGCCATTGACTAAAGCAAAAAAAAAGTAAGTTTATTTCTCATGTTTTTATTCACTTATATTTCTAAACCCGAACATATACATGCATAACCCTAGGGTTTTCAATCAAATAGAACATTGAGTCTTAAAAAAAAAAAAATCGACCCATAATCAATTTTCTGCTGTTTCTGACCTGTAGATTTGCTTGAATAAAGGGCACTTCGAGTAAGTTTGCTTCTCGTAAATCCTTAATTTTAACCTCCGTATCAGAAAAAAGATATCCTCAAGGTAAGGTTTTTCCAGGTACAGGCGCATGCGAATGCTTTTACCCTTTAGACTTTCGAGCCTTTCTTTCTCTCAGAAGTTGATATATTTTGACAACTAAAATTGATATATTTTGTCCAATGACAACGCACAAACCAAAAAGTGTCAAATAATAATAGACTTTTTGTACAGTAGGTCAATACCATCTGACCATTTTGACAACAAAAATTGATATATTTTGTCAAAACATAATTTGGCTAAGTGACAAATCGAACACAACTCAGAGCCACTAAAATACCTTACATTTTAATCCATTCAAGGAATTTGTGCTCTTTGAAAGTCCATATTGATATTTTGTAGAAACAGCTAGATAGATCACATACCATGTGACAGATTCAATAAAAATATATATAATTAAGATTTGTACATAAAATAAGTATTTCTTTTTATAAAAAACTGTATTCCTTCTATTTCTCTATCTGAGTTTTTTTTTTTTAGGCATCTTAAATAGCTAGAAAATATTGATTTGTATGCGATGAATTATGGTAGTTTTTAATTAATACTCAGCAAAAATAGATTTTAGAAAAATTAAAACTTAAACATTTAAATAGAAAAATTTACCGATTAAATATTTTAAAAAAATCAAATATTAAACACTCAAATTGCAGTTTTTTTATTATTATACAAATCTCTATTCTTCATGTAATTTGTCTCTTATTAAGATTTATTTGGAAGATATGTTTTTAATGTGAGATTTGATTGGATGTGTTAAGATTTACTCTAATCAATACAATTGCTCAATAAGGTTAACTACAAATAGCTAGTATATAAAATTGATAAAAGACATTTGTGCCACTTACTGATGCTTATTATGAAAAATAATAAGCTATGAAACATATTTAAGCTTCTTTTTTTATTTTTTTTATTTCTCTTTCGTCGATGTGTCTATCTCTGTCTTATAAAATAATTTATACTAGTTACTCTAAAAGTAATATAAAATTTCTCGATCTTATACATCAAGATAATTAATCCCTTCCTTTGAGATCTTAGGCATGCAAATTTTCTTTTACAAAAATAATAATAGTCTTCAAAAATAAAGCAATTATTAACAAAAGCATCCACCATGGTATGCAAACGGCATGGAAAGAAAGAAAGAAAGTAGGTATTTACTTTACATACTATTATACACAAGACACCCAAAAATAAAATATACAGCAAAAGGAAAAAGCAAAAAACCACCAAACAGAAAAGCTAAAAAGAGAAAGCCGACCAACCCAAAAAAAAAAAAAAAAAAAAAAAAAAAAAAAGGTAAATTTTCCCGGTTATATATGAATTTAACTTTCGTCAGAGAGAGGATGCTATAAATAGTTGAAGAGGGCCAGACCACAAAGCACCAGAGTCATACCTGTCAAAAAGATTGTAGACAAACCTTCTATTCTTAGACCCATTAACATTTTCTACACCATTTCCAGAGTTTCTTGTCTCCTGTCCTCAACGAAAAAAATTTATTTATGATTCTTTTTTCTAGCTAAATTCTCGTTGCTTCAAAATCTCTCTTTCTTGATCCTCCACATCTTTTATGGTATTGTAACAACAACCATTTTAGCTTGTGGGGTGTCAAGAACTTAATTACCTCTTTATGTGCATATAGGATCATGTTTTCATGCTCATGTTAAAATCTTGAGTGCTTTTAGTCTTATTGAAGGTGTTGTTAGTTTCGAGTTTGAAAAGAAAGAGAGATGGAACAGAAGCGCATGTTGTTGTCTGCTTTGAGTGTGGGAGTTGGGGTCGGCATGGGGCTAGGATTGGCATCTGGACAAAAAGTGAGTAGGTGGGCTGGTGGAAATGGTTCGGTAGATGGTGTCACAGCTGAGCAGATTGAGCAAGAGTTGATGAAGCAGGTTGTTGATGGAAGAGATAGCAAGGTCACATTTGACGAGTTCCCTTATTATCTCAGGCAAGATAATGCTGCTAACTTTTTTTTGGCTTTTATCACAAGCTTGTATTATATGGTCCAGAATTAATTTATTTTTGTATGAGCATTTTGAAGATCTTGAGAAAGAAACTGTGCTCTTTCTTTGTCTAAAATTATAGAAATTATGGGGTTTTGTGTTGATTCTTTGTATCTACTACATGTGAGGTTTTGGTACTTTTTATTGTCATTGTCTGGAAATTAAATGCTCTGACATGGTGATATTCTCTGGACATGATTATAATAATCATGGTTGTTATATTAAATAGTTTGCTTTTAGAGTTTTAGTTAATTAATGGCATCTTCTCATTTTGATATATTTCCCCCTATATATGAGTACTTAGAATTTGAAAGATCTATGTAGTTGTTGAATTTGATTTCCTGTTTCTGGACAGTTTTAGCTTTAAGTTCAACTTGTAGAATTGTATGTAGGGGAAATTTACTAATCCATAGATGTCACATGGAAAGTCAGGAATTTATGTAATATCAGCAATTTTTCTTGAACTATGAGGAGGATTCTGATTCAGTTTGTCAATAAATATACATGTTCTAGGGTTTTGATAGCGAGCCTGCCAGTTCTCCTTCTGCTATTTGCTGCTATTGCTGGATGTTTTTTTATTTATTTAAGTGACTGCTATTAGGCTTTGGCATCTTATTATTGTTGGATCCATGCCCTGTTTTTGGAATACTCAACTTGAAATTGTTGAATTTTAGAAAGATTTATCTGGATGAATTGCTACCCTCTTCCTGGATTATTAATTGGAGATGATGGTAATTAAGTCATATAGTTGTATCAAGATTTCAATTTTGTTAAGCTTGAGAAAATTTTCTGGCTGAGTTGCTGCTCTGTTGGATTGTTGGAGATGATGGAAATTATATCATATTTTTCTACCCAGAGCCCAAGTTGGCATTTCTATGAATCCTTCTATGGAATTAGTTTAGACCATGCTAAAATATATATTCTGGAATGCGTTCTTAGGGAGGATTTTCAATAATCATTCCATTTTTATGGCTAATCACAGTGAGAAAATTCGGATGTTATTAACAAATGCGGCATTGGTTCATTTAAAGCATGCTGACTTTTCCAAGCATACACGGAACCTTTCTCCTGCTAGTAGAGTGATTTTGCTCACAGGACCTGCTGGTAAGCAATATGAATATGTTTTCTGATTTTAACTTGTATAAGTGATTTAAAGATCTCAGTGGCCTAATCTCTTGCAATCTTAATTTTATGAAGAGTTTTATCATCAAAGGCTTGCAAAGGCTTTGGCACATAAATTCGAATCAAAGTTGCTGTTGTTGGATGTTAATGACTTCTCCGTAAAGGTGACCTTTAACAAATTTCAATCCTTCTCTGTGAGTTTCCATTAAATAGTACTCATTCTTTCATCTATTCTTTATTGCAGATGCAAAGCAAATATGGATGCAGTAAAAAAGAATCTGTAAGCTTTCTCTTCCTCGTGCTGATGAATTGAGTGATCTGAAATGTCGTGCATTATTTCATATGTTTAATCAGTCAAGATGGCTTCACATCTTCGTATTGCTAAGTATCCTGATTTCTTTGCATATTTTTTTAGTCTTTCAAAAGTTCCATTTCTGGGGTTACACTGGAACGAATGTCCTCTTTGTTTGGTTCTTTCTCGATCCTTTCATCAAATGAAGAAACGAGGTATTCACACGCCACCCTTCTGTTTATTACTCTTTGGAGTAGAAATAAGGTTTGGTCGAGTTTAGTTGGTCTTCTGTGGTGGTTAGTTAGTTCTAACTCCATGCCTTCATATATTGCAGGGTTATGGAAGGGTCTAAAAATCCTCCCAAACTTCGTAGGAACTCCTCCACTGCATCTGATATAAGTAGCATTGCTTCTCAATCCCCTTCTACAAATCCAGGTTATACATAAAAATTCAATTATTTCTATAGCTGAACAAAATACTATAAAATGTGATATATATATTTGGTAGTTGTTGATTTTGCTGAAGATTGATTATTGGAAAGTTCATTCCTTTTTTGACGAAAATGAACTTCCTCAAGAGATAGTGGTGTGTGGGCATGAATCCATATTTCTCCACAACTCCTTTGTGATGTACAGATTAGGAAAACTAAATTCAATGTTTAGATCACATCTTACTACAGAGATTCTTACCTGAAACTTTATCACTAAGTTATTGTTTCAATCTTTTCTTTGTGGCATCCTCCCCTTGCTGTTGGTTTTGGAGATAAGAATTGGTAAAATAAATGGCTTTGTTCTATTTACTGGGTTTCATCCCAGGAGATGTACACCTTGCAAGCACACAGGTGACAGGACTGTTGTTCCTGGTTTTCTTGTCCTATTTTTTAATCCACAAACTTTAGCTTCTATGTTTCTTGATTTGATTCCTGGCATTCATATTGGTATCAATTTGTTATTATCCGTCATGGTTCCTGCATGGATGATGTATAATAATTATGAAGAAATAATTTGTAATGCATATTTTTGTCAAAGATCATCTATTCTGTTCTCTTTTAGTTTTCATATGTATGTTAGGTTAGTTGTAGTAATCTGCATATTTTGAACTGCTATTATACTCACTGTTTCTGGGGATTCTTTTGTTCTTACAGCTCCTCTCAAGCACGCAAGCAGTTGGTGTTTTGATGAGAAACACTTTCTGCAATCACTTTATCAGGTAACAATATTGTCACTAGTAGGCGTTTGTTACATGGATTTAGTAATTGATATTTAATTTTTTAACACTAACTGATCATGTTGATGCTTACTAAAATTTACTTTCTGTTCTTAATAACACACACAATTCTACAGCATTACTATTTACCAGCTGGATGAGAGTCGATGCTATATATATATATATATATATATATAACAATATGTTAAAATGTCAAAGAAAATTTGTTTTTCAGCATCAGGATTATTCCGAGCATGATTCATAAGATCTTATTAATAGTCAAGATGTTATTCTTACAGGTGTTGGTTTCAGTATCACAAAGAAGTTCCATCATTTTATACCTTAGGGATGCTGAGAAGCTTCTTCTTCAATCACAAAGGATGTACAACTTGTTCGATAAGATGTTAGAGAAATTATCAGGCAATGTGTTGATACTTGGTTCCCGGACGTTGGAACTAGACGATGATTGCAATGAAGTGGATGAGAGGCTCGCTAAGTTATTTCCATACAACATTGAGATCAAACCACCAGAAGATGAGACCCATCTTGTCAGCTGGAAAGCCCAACTGGAAGAGGACATGAAGAAGATTCAGTTTCAAGATAACAAAAACCACGTTGCTGAGGTGCTGGCGGCAAATGATATCGAATGTGATGATTTGAGTTCTATTTGCCATGCAGACACAATGGTTCTTAGCGATTACATTGAAGAAATCGTGGTATCAGCAATATCATATCATCTGATGAATAATAAGGATCCGGAATACCGAAATGGAAAGCTTTTTATATCATCTAAGAGGTGGATGCTGGTTTTTTTGTTTAATGATTTCTTTGTTATCTCCTCTGGAAAAATAATAGAAAACAGTCTCTTACTTACAACTCTGTCTCTGGAGCAGCTTGTCACATGGATTGAGTATATTCCAAGAAGGTAAAAGTGACGCAAAAGATACTTTAAAACTAGAGGCTAATGCTGAAGCTGGCAAGGTTGGTTCTATACCTGATATTGTCTATTATACAGTGAGCAGCAAGGTTGGCGTTGTCAACATGTATAGTTTAAATTTTTGGGTCTATTGTAGGAAACTGAAGGGAAAGAGAGTGTTGGTGCAAAGAATGATGTTAAAAGTGAAATAGAGAAATCTGTTACTGGAGCGAAGAAGGACAGCGAGAATCAACCTAAAGCACCGGTAAGTCAAAACCATTGATACTTTAGATAAGAGAGGTCAATATTACTTTGATTGTCTTACTCATGGATTTCCATTACTTCCTGCAGGAAGTTCTTCCTGACAATGAGTTTGAGAAACGAATCAGACCAGAGGTTATTCCTGCAAATGAGATTGGAGTAACATTTGCAGATATTGGTGCTTTGGATGAAACCAAAGAATCACTTCAGGAGCTTGTCATGCTGCCCCTTCGGAGGCCGGACCTCTTCAATGGTGGGCTTCTCAAGCCCTGTAGAGGTATATTGCTGTTTGGTCCTCCTGGAACAGGAAAAACAATGCTGGCAAAAGCCATAGCCAAAGAAGCTGGAGCAAGTTTCATAAATGTCTCCATGTCCACCATTACTTCAAAATGGTTCGGTGAAGATGAGAAGAATGTTCGAGCTCTGTTCACACTTGCTGCGAAGGTTTCCCCAACTATCATATTTGTGGATGAGGTTGATAGCATGCTAGGGCAGCGGACCAGAATTGGTGAGCATGAGGCCATGCGGAAGATTAAGAATGAGTTTATGGCTCACTGGGATGGTCTGTTGACAAAACCTGGTGAGCGTATTCTTGTCCTTGCAGCAACCAACAGGCCATTTGACCTTGATGAAGCAATTATTAGGCGGTTTGAGCGCAGGTGTGTTCTATTTGTTCTGTTTTCTCTATTTGTTTTACTGACCAACATCATCATCATCATTCAGCATACAAGCAGTTCGTTAAAGTTTGTCATCCTTTCTGTAAATTCTTCTCGAGTAGTCTAGCTTTGTGCAATTCCTTTCTTCTTTACCTCCTGTCTTGACCTCTTCAAGAAACCTTCTTAGGTATCTTTAGCTCCGTTCTTCAGTTGTGAGCTTTAATGTCTCCACTCCACTATTATTAACTGTTACTTTATGAATTGGTCTTGCTCAATCAGCATCCATATACTGTCTAGATTATCTATTTGGTCTCGAGTAGTTTTAAGCAATTTAATTTCATGAACTAGTCTGTAAGTCCCAAGTTTGCTTGGAGGTTTTTGAGTCTTGCTGAAGGAGAACTGTTCAAGGATCAACTCACTGCAAATAAAATATTGCCATCCTTCGAAGTGTGCTAACTACAATGCGTTTTCTTGTGTTGGGCAGAATTATGGTCGGTCTTCCATCTATTGAGAGCAGGGAAAGGATTTTGAAAACTCTCATGTCGAAAGAAAAAACAGAAGATTTAGACTTCAAAGAGCTTGCAACTATGACAGAAGGATATACTGGAAGTGATCTTAAGGTTTGTTCTTTCCATTTCACTATTTTCCCAGAAAATTTATAGCATTCATCAAACCAATTCATAATGGACTGATTAGCTCCTGATATTGATTGCTGTAAACAGAACTTGTGTGTCACAGCAGCATATCGACCAGTTAGAGAGCTTTTACAGCAGGAGCGAGTGAAGGAGAAGGTAAGATTTTTCTTCCATGTTATAGATGTATTTGTCATATTTCTTATTGAAATTAGTCCTTGCTGACACTTTTCCTGGTTTTCTGTTTCTATTAATCTCATAAAGGCAAAGAAGCAGAAAGCTGAAGAAAGCACAAGCTCAGAAGATGCTGCGAATACGAAGGAAGAAGGGAAAGAGGAAAACGTAATCATTCTGAGGCCTTTGAACATGGATGATATGAGACAGGCAAAGAATCAGGTAACCTTACATGAATTTCCTTTTAAGTTGATTGCATCTGTTACCCTCAAACCATCAGCAAATGGTCTTTCCAAATTCAAATTCTTCTCTATCACCAGACTCTCCTACTATCTTCTACTTTAGTCCATAGCTTATGATTTGAACTGCAAATAGCTGCCGCTAGATTGAATTTATTATATGATTAGCATCATAACAGCATTATTTCCTCGAAGAAAGACACCTCAACGCCCATCTTGATAATTTAGTTCTGCAACATGAAAGTAAGAGAAATTTAGAATCTTATGTTTCGTTCCAGGGTTGTTTCTAACCTAGTGTATGCAGGTTGCTTCAAGTTTCGCAACTGAGGGTTCAGTGATGAATGAGCTAAAGCAATGGAACGAGTTGTATGGCGAAGGGGGTTCAAGGAAGAAGCAGCAGTTAACTTACTTCCTCTAGGTTTTATGAAGCAGTGACCCTGTCATCTAGTAACACTCTTCGCAAGTGGGAGGTTATGGAAGCCTTTCCCTGAAAGTGAAACATGGTTATTACAAGCATACAACAGAGTGGCATTGAACGGAACACAGAATGCCCCGACACCAGATCCTTGGAGTGAAATGATGGAAACTACGAAGAAGTTTATGTTTGGATGCTACGTATACTTTCCGATTTCTGTCAGGAATGTGTAGATGAAGCGAAAGAGGGGGTTCTCACTTGTCACTATTGTTTAGGCCATTCTACAAACAATTGCCAGTGCGTTTTTAGTATTGTAATTATGTAACTGTGTGGTACTTGGAAATGCATATGGGTTGTGGATTTCAGAAGGAATCTATATTGGGTTTGTTAGATAGTTTGTAGTCTATGATGAACAATATTAAGGGTAGCATTTGTACATTAGTCTTTGTGAAAATTAGTAATACTTCTTGCTCTTGCACTATTATTCTTTTCTGCTATTGAAGATTATAGCTGTAGATTCAGAATTCCATTTAACCAGAAAAGAAAAGGTCAAATGCAGACTAACACAGCACAAGTTGGCCAAGATTGCCAGGATTAGCTCATCTCCTTCTATCAGGAACATTAAATTCGCATAACATTAAGAGTAAAGATGTTCTTTTAAAATGAAACAAATTCAATTAGAACTTAAAAGGGGAAAGTGAAAAGTTGTCCCTTCTCACAAAAAATTTGGACATTTAACCTCAATAAACACTTTCAGGATATATATATGTGTGTGTGCACGCATATACGTGCGTACGAAAGCGATAAAATTTAACTCATTTCAGTAAATAAGATTTCAGAATTCGAACATTGCATGTTGATAGAAAAATCGTCTAAAACCAACCTATTTATCTATGACTAACAATTTGTTGATATTCAAGATATTTTTTTAATCACGACTATTAGTTCATTTTCAAACCATTTATTGGTTAATTTAATGGTAAAAGAGATCTATTTCCTTTCTTAATTTTTTCGATTCAAACCTTAAAACTAGTATTTAAAAAATTTATTAAATATTTTTCAATTCATAAGGTACATATTGACGGGATGATATCAAGATATAAGTCTCTATTGATTTGCAGGCTACTGTTTCATCTCTCCAAATTATGTTAAGATTTTTACAAATTGAATTTTTTCTACAAATAAAAAATTAAATTTAGATTAAAAAATAGTAATTATAAAAAAAACTAAAGTAAAACATGATTTTACTATTCATTTTTACTATTTGAAAAACTATTCACACACTCACAAATCACTATTCATATCATTTTTTTAACACTTTGGTCCTCAATTTTTCTATATATATTTCAAACTTTAATTGTATTGTGATTTTTTTTATTCCATTTTGTTTTAGTGTTTTCTTTTAATTATTTTTATTATTTAAAATTTACAACTTTAATTTATTATTTTTTTAATATAGTTATATGTTATTAATATTATTATCATATTATAATAATATTATTTTTCTACACAAAGCATTTACTATTTATTTGTTTTTTTTTAATTAAATAATTAAAATAATGTTTTGGCTTAACCACTCAATGATTCAAATTAATATAGGTTTTATTTTAATATTATTCATTCTTTTATAAATAAATAAATAAAAATTAAATTCATATTTTTTAAAAAATTGATATTCTCATCAAAATTAAATAAAAAAAATTATTTATTGAATTCTATGTGATCTTTTAATAATTATTATTTATGTTTTTTCGACACAATCTTATGAAATACTAAAGCTTTTTTAAAAAAAATTATTTAATATTTTTTTTAGTTAATAATTCAAGTATTAACAAGGGTAAATACTTTTTCTAAAAGAAAAATTATAAAAAACATAAATATACAAATAATTAAATATAAAATTATTTATTAAAAAATTATAAATAATTTTTTTATTTTTGATGTTATATATTTTTATAAATTTATATTATAAAATAGATTATCAAACTGAAATAATTTTTCTAACTAATTTTATATATTTTATTTAATTAACAGCATAACGTGGTAAAAAAAAAAAAAACACCTACAAGGCTACAACATAAGCAAATAGAATAAAATAATAATAAATAAATAAGCAGGGGAAACCGCAAAACAGACACTAGACCGGTTAGTTTGCCTTAAAAGTCTTAATATTACCCACCATTTAAACTTCATTTCTTCTTCCTCCCAAAATTCTGTCTATTCTCTCATCTTTTTGCATCACAATCCCGAAAATGTCAGACCCAATGGAAAGATACCAAAATCTTGGTTACAAAGATGCTTTAACAAGAGCCCACCATTACCCAATAGCTTGTAAAGAACTAAGCTTGATTCTACGAGAAGCTTATAACAAACTACCCAAGAATCTTCAATCTCTCATCTTTCAAGACACTCTTTCAGCCTTCAAACTCCTTCCTCAGTAAGTATTTCTGTCTTTCCTTTCTGGGTTCTTTCAATTTCTTGTTTATTTTTCTTCTTTGATGTTGTTTTTAATGAATCGTTAGGACCCAGTTTGTAATTTTGATTGATTGGTTAAAGAAACATGCTTTTTTGAGTTTTGGCAATGAAACTGAATAATGAATCTGTTATTCGAATTTTACAGTTTGTACAAGAATTGGTATTTTTGAACAGTCAATTTTGTTGGTCAAAATTGAACGAAAGCAATTACCTAATTTCACTGCAATGAGACGATTTGGGTTTCTTGCTCTAATAACTGTCAATTATTGTTCTTTTCAAACTTCTCATGACTTTTTGATCGGTATTTTTAATCTTAGAATGTGGACAAACAATGCTGTTTCGGCAGTGCATCTCCTAATTCAGAGTGCTGACGCTACATTGCCGAAGCAGAAGAAGAATGTTGCTATGAAAGAATTCAAACATGCAATGGTTGCTTCTAAGAGGCGTGGTAAAGTGCGTTGGGTGGAAGAATGTAAGTAGTACTAGTATAATTTAGAGAATTTTTAAGAATTTTTATGTTATGAAATTTTGATTTGTTGTGTAATTCATGATTCTAGTTTTCTCAGTAATTTCAGGTTATATCGAGTTGCCACAGGATGTTCTTGTAGACATCTTCAGCTTCCTTGACACGCGATCATTGGTTTCTGCCTCACTAGTCTCTCGGTATTGAACTAGCAAACCAATTCATCTACTTATTAGTTGCTTCGCCTGATTAGAATTACAACGATGAGTTGCTCTAGTGCATGACAGAGTATCTCAGGTCCCTTGAGTGTTCGCTGAGCAGTTATTCTCTGTTTTAGTTTAATGTTTTCTTATTGCTTTTGTAAAGGTCGTGGAACGCTGCAGCTAGTAATAATCATCTGTGGCAATCTCTATATGCCACAATTTTTGCAAGTGACCATAATTCTTCGAAGGTCACAGGGTGTCTGAATGGCAGGCAAGGTGAGGATAATAAGGATAACAGCGGTGTTGATTGGAGAGAGGCGTTTAAAAGAGCATACATAGGTATGTTTCTCTACTGTATAATCATGTTTCTGTTAGCTTTTCCCTGTGATTCATTTCTCATTAACATTTCTCTGTCTGGATTTTAGACAATTCATCGAAGAGACTAACAACTAGTAGAGGCTACTGTCTTTACTGCAATACGATAGTGTGGCTAGATGGCATGAAATGCAGTAGCGGAAAATGTGGACCACAACCTAAAATCCAGCCTGTTGTTCCCAAATCATCTGAGCAGGTATGTTATTTAGTGGAAAGCTTGCATTCTTTTTGTTTGTGGGGGTGTTCTTGATTGTTTTATTACAAATAGAATCCCTTATGCACCTCATACCTTTTCTTTTCTTTTTTTTCAACCTGACTGAAGCACTCTCCTGATATATTGAACTCTTTTTGGCTAAAATTTTCCTACGCATTCATGTTTTTCAGGTTGTTGGTTACCTATTAGATGGATCTTCATCTGTGGTGTCTTCAGACAGTGATAGTGATTTAGATGATTGCTTTGACGAATGGTACATTCCCAAGTTATGGGCCCACCCACTAAACCAGTACAGGCCAGGATAAATACTTACTTAGGAACAAAGCATGGACTTTTTACCCCCTCTAGCATGGTTCAGAATCTATTCTTACCTTAGTGATGGAATGAGACATAGAATGCTATCTTGCCATTAAATGTCTTTATCATGAGAACACCAAAGTTGCTAACTCTAATATTGTATGTATATGTATTCTAAATGTGTTGTGGAATTTAAGCCTCCTGGTGGGAATGGTATCAAATTTTTTGTGATACATATGTGATGGGATCATTGCAGCTGAATGGAGGAAATCTGAATGTGAAATTGTGTCTTGTCTTGTCCGTGAAATGAAACAGGATTATGAGCTACTGCCGTAGAAGACTGGGAAGATTTTTTTGCCTGTTTACTGAAAATCTTGCCATGCAAATGGTAGTTTATTAATGATAAGTGCATCTGTGTATACGCCTCTTCTCAAATTTTTAATTGATCAGATGTTATGCTTTAGGCATACCATCTGTTCCTTAAATTATTGTTTTTACTGTGCTTCTTTAGAATAAAAGACTTGGCTACGAGAATCCAAGCCTGGCTGGAACAATTTTGTTTATTTTTTCTAATTCTTTCCGCTAAAGTTTACGAAGCTTTAAGAAAGCAACGAACAAATACAAGACAGAGCACATGGATTTGGCAACAGGAATCGCTTTATCTCTTCTCCTTTTCCAAAATGTATTCTTTATAACTTTTAAGTAGTAACCTCCCCCACATCTAGCCATGCTCATGAGAGAACGAAAGCCATCTGCCAAATTGACCATTTCTAAAACACATTTTGGAAAAGAAAAAAGATGCAGTTATATTTCCACAAGATGGGGGATAATTTCCCTGGAAACCAATATACCATCGACTTATTATAAGCATGAGCGAGATCTACATAACTCAGGAGGTTACTGAATACCATATAAATTAAATCTATGAGAACCCAAACACCACATAAACATAAAGCAAAGACAGGGCGTCTAAAATATAAAAGTCACAACAGCGATCAAACAGAATTACTGCGAGTCAAAATTCAACCTAGTAAACACTAGAACTGGTCTCTCTGTCTCTAATCCTTCTTCAATGGTCCTTTAGGAATTTTGCTTAAAAACTTTTCGTCCAACACCGCATACTGCTTCTTGATCTTAATCCAAGCTTTTTCGGAGCATGCATCAACCTTGTCCTCGTACTTCTCATACAACACTGGTATGGTGAGTAGCAAAACAAGGGCTGTATTGAAGAAATAAGAAAAAATCTGAGTCTGATAATGAAAAATTATCTTGCATCTTAATTGAAAGTAATGAACATCTGAATTCCTTACATATGTAGAGCAAGGTCAGGAAGTTACAGCAACTTCCAACAAGGGACAGAACCCATAAGATAGCAATTACCTGACAGCCAAATGAGCAACAACTGATAATTAGTACTATAAACCCAAATAGCTTGGCACATATAAGGATGCATCATTGAACCTCAATTTATTAACATGCCTAACAAATGGCATTCAGAGAGAGAATCTTTTCCAAAGTACCAAGTGTCTGATGAAACAGTATAAATGACCAAGGAAGTGAAAAATACAGCTCCAAAAATGATATTCCTCATCAGAAGATCAAACACTATATCAACGATAGGAAGAGATCACTTACAGCAAGAAACTGCTTCAGATCTCTCCCAGTTGCAATTGCACGCAGGACAACTAATCCTCGGTTGATTTCAATTCTCAGCTCAGAGGCAACTTCACGAACACATTTTTCAGGAAGTACGACTTCAGGGATTTTAGGCGGGGATCTAGTACAGAGAAAAATAGAGTCTAACACCATAAGAAGGAATAATACATCACCAAAGTTGAAGTGACATAAAGATTATCTAATATTCCTTACTTGTTTAAGAAGTTGGATGCATTGGACCACAGAAAAAGAACAGCCAGTGAAAATATTGATAAATGGCAAACTAGAGTTATTAAGTGATATCCAAGCAATTCCAAAAGAACCCAGACTGCAGTTGCACCAACAAGCACACCACCAGAGATTTTCTTGTTCCTCCATAGGAAAACATCAGCAACTGCAATAAAATAATAATCTATTAGGGTAAGACAAACAATTTGCAGGATATAAGTTTCAGAAATGAAGTGAATCATTCAATCCAACTTCTACTTTTACAAGTCATGGCAAAATCAAATATAACCCAAATTTGTCTCCATAATCACCAATACAATGCTTAATCCTGTAGTGGAAATGCAGTAATTTCTCCGATTCATTCAAGAACTTCTCTATTGATAAAAAACAAATGAAGGGTATGTTTCTATCCATGTGTTTAGAGGTGTGTCAATACGATTTCTTTACCCAGGAAAAAAGAGAAAAAATGAATCTCGTGATCTAATACTAGCATCGTCAAGCAACAAACCAAAGACATCCAAAGCACACCAAAGTCATCTCTAGCAGATTACAAAAAAAAAAAAAAAAAACTCTTCACGTGCGCAATCTCTAACCAACCTTGTCAGATCATTCTCTTCATTGAAATTCCAAATTCGAAACAATATTAACAGTCCATCCAAAATGCAACAAAAAGACAGACCAGGGTTCTCTTCCATGAACTTTTCTTTTAATACGCCGTAGGTTTGAAAATCAAATCTTTGAAACAAATCCCAAAAAAAAAAAGCCATTTACTGCCAATTTCTACTCTAAGCAACAATTTTCAAATTTCTATAACATAAAAGAAAAATCAAAAAGTAAAGTAGGAAAATAATATCACAAAACAAAAAATCTATAAAAAATAAAAACAGTAAAATGGAATATACTGATCTAGCATCGAATCAAAGAATTAAAAACACAAATACTTAATTAATGAGTGAGAAATGTTCGTGTGTATTTACGTTTTCCACCACCAAAGACTTTGTGGACGGGTTTCTCTCTACCAAAAAGCCGAAAGATTTTCGATTTGACAGCATCAAACTTGTCATCATCAGAATCAGATGACGAAGATGAATCATTATCGTGGATCTTCTCTGTTATCTTATCCACCATTGATTCAATCGGTGATTCGCGCTCACGCTCGCCTTCATGCTCGGCCATGGCTGTATCTTTCAGAGAGAGAGAGGTTTCGATGTGATTATTCTATTTTCCAAGTTTCTGATTTTCTTTTTTATATCAAGAGAGTGAAATACTGAAATCTGAGCCACTGACTTTTTTCAGTGTGAGTTTTGGAGGGAGAGATGGAATCGGGGCCGTTCAGAGGTGTGGGAAGTCCGAGGCTGAGGGTTGGAGAACGTGCCTGCTGCTCGATTAGGAAAATAACGGAAACCGAGGGGGAAATTTGGCAGATCCCTTGGGCTAAGGGCAAGGGGGAAGCTAGTGTCACATAGGGAAATGTGGTGGCTGTTATTTCTATATTTTAGGTAGTAAGTTGTTTAATTTTTTAGTTGTTTATTAATTACTTCTTTATTGGGGAATTATTTTTTTCCAGCTAATTGGTTTCGCAGCAGTACTATGGATCAAACGTTAATTAATATTTTAATTTTTAATTTGATTATTATAATTATTTTTTAGCTTGTAATTAAGTCGATCGATTTCGTTGACCAATATCCGAATACACATAATGATAAAATAACCAAAAAACTCATACCTAAATTAAATTACCGAATATAATGTTTTTTCTCTCCATGCTTTTTTTTTTTCCTTCTTTCCTCTGTATACATTCAATCAAAATAAGTTTATCATGCTAATTTTCTTATGAATTCTACATGCTCCATGGAAAGCACAAAAGGAGTCTATCACTAAAGGTGAAAGTAAAGCAAAATTGTATCCCCACTCCAAGAATAACATGCAACGACCCCACATGGTTCTTTCGTCAATGGTTTAACAGTAGAGGTACACATGTAGAGAAAAATTAAGTACCTTAGTATAGTTATTGTACAGAAGGTTCTTGAAAACTAATAAGACGAATAGTTCGTACTCTAGTCAAATTATGAAGAGTTAGTGTTGTAATTTATAGAAGCGGTGGTCAACTAACAAAGCAAAAAAGATGCAAATAGTGAGACGTATGGGAGGAGAAGCATGCAATGCTAGCAAGACGCGAGTCGAGTGGTTGACAGGTGCGTAGCCAAAGTCCAAACAGATAGAGCTTTAATTATTGTTTGATATATGAGTGAAAGAGTTTTAAGAGAGAGTTCAAGAGTTTCTTTTTCTCGAGATCGAAAATTCTAAAATTAAAAGTTCTCCGACGGAAAAGTTTTTTTCATAATAATATAAGATTGATATTTATAATAAAAGAAGATAATTCTTAATCGTTAAGATCATATAACATCATCCAAATTTGGACAATCATATTTGGTTTAAAGAATTTAGATTTTTTTTACTAAACTACTTCAATTTGCTAACAAAAGATAAAAGAAACTATAACTGGGCCTTTGTTTTAGCATACCCTAATCCAATCTATCCAAATCAATCTCTATAATGTATCCCGAAGATAAAGCATGGACACCGGCCCCGAAAAAATACTCGTGTCCATCCTTACAATTCAAGACCTTACGTTGAGTTAGGTACATTCTTAGTTCAATTAATTTATCATGCAATTTGGATCCACGTCAAAATAAAAAAAATGAATTAATATAGAATGACAATTATCTTAATTAATTTTATAAAATATTGAGCATACACAATTACTTCATCAAACATAGTTCGTATAATGACATCACCTAAACCTCCTAGTAGATGCAAATTTAAAATTGGATTTTCACCATCTCTTGACCTAGTTTGTCAATTTTACAGTTAGAAAAATTGAATGGAAAGCAATTGAGGGAGGAAAGAGTGGAGAGGACGCGATCTCGAGAGAGAGATAATGTATAGAAGGAGAAGGGAGACAATGGTGTAATGTAAGTGATGCTGAATATAGTGGTGAAGGTGGCAGATGAGGAGGGAGGGAGAGAGGTGGTGGTGGTGGTGAAAGAGAAAAGTTTGAGGAAGAAAAACATAAAGAGAGAAAATAAATGAGATTACATTTTTTAATGATTTTAGCTCGTTTTTTAAAAATTATATAAAAAGGTCACCAACTAAGCTTCGATAGCAATACTAGCACATATTTGATTTTTTGACCAAAATTCTAAGCAACGCCGAGATGGTTGTCCACTTAAACATGACATATGGACTTTAGAAAGTCACGTAGGATCCACGTAAGTACCGATGTGAAAAATCAAATATGTGATCTTACTTAGCTTGCTAAAGTCAATGTGTCATAGTTGCGTGGATCCTACATGGCTTGTTAACGTTCATGCGTCATGTTTCTTCACCTTCAACGTTGCTCAAATTTTTGATCGAAAAATCAGATCGGTGCTAGTATTGTTATCGGAAGATTAGTTGGTAACCTTTCTATGTAACTTTTAAAAAACGAGTTTAAATCATTAAACGTATATAATTCATGATTTTCCGAAACATTAAGCTATATGTGTGTGTGTGTGTGGCTTCTTAAGCTTGTGTTTTTGCCTTTATTTTGCAATTTCTTACAAAAAAAAAAAAAACCCACCTAACTACCAAAATCTCAAACAAAAGAAGAATCACAAATCATATGACAATAAAGACATAATAGAGATTATAAGATGTGCTTCATTTTGGTAGGAGTAGAGCAATAAGAACTACTTCATAATCATTTTTATTTGTGTAAAAAAAGTTATTAAATGTAATTTATGTTGATTGTAAATCCCATTGCATTTTTATTTTTCTATGGATTTCTTTGCTTCATTTTCAAAAATCAAGAACTCAATAAGCAAGCTTTAAAAATTAAATCCACCATTAAAAAGTTCAAAACTTTCTTATATTCATAATCCCAAATTTCAATCTTTAAAACACATAAATGAAACCCAACTTTATGTACTACATGAATGGAAGAAAATAACATAAATAACAAAGAAACTTGATATCTACAAAAACTAATCACTAGCTTTTTGATCTTTATATCCTATTAGACTTTGATTTTCTAGGTTTCTTTCCTTTGCTTTCAAAAATCAATAACCTAAAAAGCAAGCTTCAAAATATTATAAAAGCCTTGCTCCCTCAATTCATAAGCCTTAAATTCACACCAACATATATCGTCACTCCAAATTAGTGGCTATCAATCGCACTCTTAACCTCTTCAACTCCTACACATTGCAAAAAACCTATATGAATTAGCCCATCTCATAATTTACAACCAATGTCAAACTTACATTGGACTTCTCCAAGTCTCTACGTGTTTGTTTCTCCCCCCCCCAACTAACACCATAAGAAAGTCATCTCCATAACTAAATTGCTCTTAAACGCTTGTTATCCCCATCATAACAAACACAAATCTGTTGGCAAAAACAAATTAATTGAATTTTATGTAGTTTAGTATGGAATGGGTATCGTTGATGAAGAGGAATTGGATTATTAGTCATTGTGGTGGTGTTAGTGTAGTGTTCGGTATTTTTATAGTGGTGCGGTGGCTAATCTTGTTTCATGATTTAGAGAAATTAGATTTTGTTATCGATGGTTTATTTGTTTTTCTTCTTTAGTTAACTTTTTTTATGTTTTTATATTTTCAAATTTTTCTCGTCACCTTGCTATTTTATCCGGCATGGCATTACTCATGTTTTGCCATTTATTATTATTATTATTATTTTGCTTGAAAAACTTTCTAAAAAACATTAGAAAGACCACATCAAGAAAATTTAGGGAGTAGAGGATGCAATACATAAAAAAAAAAAAAAAAAGTAAATGAGCTACATTAAGGGAAAAAAAAGAATAAATGAGCCAAATTAAGACAATATCAAGAGTAGAGAGATGAATTACGCCATTAATTCAAAATCTTTTTGTGTTCTTCTATTTATATATAATTAAAATGATGAAATATATATACTTGGATATTTAAATTTATATTTGCATTTTATTAAAATAAAGAAAAAATATTATCAAAAAATAATAAAATTATTGATATTTACATTTTACGAGTATGTTTTGTAGAGAAATATGGAAAAATCTTTCACTATTGTTTAAGAAACATTCGTTCCAAGATCAAGAAAACATCCTTTATTTCTATTGTCTCATTCATCATCTATCATTCCATCCTAAATCTTCTATCATTTCATCCTAAAAAACAAAGTAGGAAATTTTTATTTTTTATCTTTTTAAAAATATTTATATTATTATATTGATAATTATGTATTAGTGCCATGCTTAAATTTTTAAAACGATAGTTAATGTGTTCGAATCATATGTATCATCATATGCACTATAGAATTTATGATAAGAAACACCTCCAATCAAAGTCGATGACAACTTAATTAAGATTATGACATCATCTTAACAAGGTACTTTTATGCAGTAATAGCCCAATCATTCAACTTGGACAAAGAAACAACTCTTCATTCACTAGCACGATAAAAAATACGTCCATTGAATAAAGACATGCTTCCTAGACTATCCTCAATCGACGCCAAAAATATATCCTAAAAGTCATCAAATCAAATCATCAAAGTTAATCACACATGTCTCCAAAGTTGATATCACATACTATTAGCAATAAAAGAATAGGCTATCCTATCTTAGTCTTCATGCAACTTGATAGATTAATCCCTACTTATACAAGAATCTCAAGGACCAAGGGTTCTAACATTTTTTCTACTTGAAAAACATCATATTGCCGTTTATTATCTTCTTAACAATCACATAAACACGCAACATCCTATTCAAATATTTCTTCAATCTGTGCATTCATTTAGTGGTCGGAGAGGACTTCACATTATAAAAAGAATTTTTCTTATAAGTACTAAAGTATAAGGAATTATATTCACAATCAATTTGCTCCATTCATTACATAACGAAGAATTCAGGTTGTCATTAATTACTATTTGAATTTTTTATGACTCATCAATTACCAAGCAATTATTTTGCTAAAAATGTTGACAACAAATAAAATGAGAAAAAAGAAAACTATTTGGACAAATTTTTAATACCAACATTGGGATATAGTTTTAATTATTTAACATTTCGACTTTCATCCAAAAACACAACCTAGGTTTCACCTCCCAACTACAACAATGCAAAAAATAAAAGAATATTTTTTATTTTATGAAAAACCAAAATATATCTCTTTTCAAAACAGGATGCCTTATCCTATATTTTTTGCTATTTAGTGTATGTTTTGCATGACAAATTCTCAAAACATATGGAATAGGAATCAACCAAACAAAGTATTAAATTCACAGCTCTAAGATGTGACATATGGGAATGTATACAAATGTATGTGGATGCAATTTGCATAATCGTGTTCTATAATTTTCGTATGGTTACCTTGGTTTAAATTTATCGAGCAAATTGGCCCAATTGGGCTGTGATGCCCGTGGCAGGAGCAAGCTGTTACCTAATCCCCACTTGGCAGTTCGCACTGCTCGAGACTTAACGCCGTAAGAGCTTACGGCGCTTGCTTGCTTGTTTGCGGTTCCTTCAACAATGACGTGGCATTATTTAAGTGGTTGAAAAATGTTAACACTTGCCAGATAGGGACGTTCTCGTAATCTTGCATTCTGAAGCGACGCGTGGAGCAATTTGGGCCCATCGTTTAATAGGAAATCTCTGTGTGCTGTATTGCTGCCTTGCTGGCCAACAACCATATGCCCTCACACGTTGCTGCCAAATGTCAACAAAAAAATCCAATTAGCATGAGGACCGGTAGAAGACAAGAGCGGGTCATGTTTTTTTAATATAATTTTAAGAAGGAAAATAGGTAGCTCTTTTATACAATGCTTTTGCAAAATTACAAAATTGTTTAAGGGATTGATGGTTGAATCTGTATTTATATAACAAAGTATTTTTTTAATTAATTTTTACATCTCTAATTGAGATAATTTTTTTTAAATATACGTTAAGTTTTTAATATATTTTATCAAGATTTTCAAAATAAATCATTAAAATTAGTCATATAATTTGTATATAAGTGTTTTTTATTCGTCAGCTTTGTAAAAATATTTTAAGAATAAAAAATAATTATATGTAAATTATTTGAATAATTCTGATGATTTCACTTGAAAAGCTTATCGTAATGATAAATTAAAAACTTAATATATATTTAAAAATAAAATTAACTTAATATAAAAACGGATTAGAAAATTATTTTATTATATAAAGATAAGTTTAGCGATTAATCCTTTTTTTAGTTTAAATATTTTTTTAATTGAATGCTTAACTCATCTATCCACGATTCTAATTAGATTAGAATCTATAATTAAACGAGCAATACTTGCATGATAAAACATAAAATAATTGATTACTTATGATTTAGATGACATCAATTTTTCACTTATCAGTGGGCCAGTGGTTCAACAAGATGCTGAAGCCCAAATACAAAGAGCTCAATGCTCTAAACAAATGGGCAAAGCAAATAGGCCCACAAAAATGGAAAAACTACGGGATCACAAACAATTATTAAAGCTCGGAAAACCACACACAAGCCTGAAATTTCAATACAAAAAGATCACAGTTAATGTGCAAAAAAGAAAGAATAAATTTCAAAATACCACCCAATTATATAAGTAATGTTACTGTTACTACCAAACAATTTTTTAGTATCAATTGCATCTTCAAAATTTCAAAAATTCTCAATTAAAAGTTTTATTTCATTTTTAAAGCTTTTCGTCTATATTTTCAATCTAAATTATACTCTTTTTTTTTTTTTAATAAAAATGATGTTATTTTGTCGGAAGTTAACGTTTTTAGTTAAGTAATCCGAACAGAAATTCTTAATTGAGAAATTAAAATAATTTAATAGTAAAATTAATATAAAAATAATTTTGACATAAATTTAATAAAACCCCAATAATTTGATGGTATATTTGATGTTTGTCAAAAAATAAAAAAAATAAAAAAATCCCACCCTTCTGTCTGCGACAAGAACTGATGAGCTGGTGCCTTCTAATTATGTGATGTTGAAGCCAGAAAACATTGGCTTCAAATGAACCTCGCATATATATAGAAATGACTACAAACAGGCCAAGCAAAATGAACTGCTATTAAAGAAAATAATAATAATAATTAAGAAGAAGAAGAAGAAGAAGAAGAAGAACTGCATTCTATTTTATAGTAACAAAATTAATCATATTATTTTGAGGCTTTTTAAGCATGCAAGAATTCAAAAAAAAAAAAATTTACTTTACCTTCATTTTAAATTTTACAATAAAATAAATATGTCAAATCAATTTTTACAACAAGAATATGAAAGCAATGAAATTACCTTTTTTGTTTAATTGTTGAGAGAGAAATATTGATTAAGATGGTAGAATGCTTGAAATTTGAAAGTTTAGCTTACAATTGCGTTGACATCTTTTTTCTCCTTCACCTTTGCACAGCCAAAGAACGTCTAAGCCATACATCCCTAAATTTCTAAGGTATATATCCTTTAGTTGTTGTGGGAATAATGGAATATCTTTAGAATATCCTTTTATATGGGTGCCCCCATTACTTCTGAATTGTGTCATTTATATCTGGCCATTTTTTGTCCTATATATAGTTACAAATTTTTTTTTCAGCAAAAAAATTATTCATAAGTAGAAACTAAAATTTTAATCCAATTTGTTTCTTTCAATTATGCTTGAGTTATGGCATGTAAGAACACTGCAAGAAGAGCTCCAATGTCAACAATCAATGCATCCCTTCCTCCAACCGGAAGTGTGTGTTGGAGAAGTAAAAAAATTACTTGGGCTACTACATTTGTTCGTCGAAAAACAATTTAAATAAAAAACAAGAAAATTTCAAAGAAATCATATCTTCTAGAATCCTTAGAACATGGTGCTATCTCAAGTATCAGTCTTGTTTAGACGTTCTTAACAATGAAAAGAAAAAAAAAAACCAAAGAAAAGCAACAAGAAAATAATGGGTTAATATTAGCAAGAAGAAAGAGTATTGGGACTTATTGGGCCTCATTGGGCCTTATAGAATTCTTAGAACACAGTACTGTCTCACAAAAAGACTTAATTTTAGAAGGTGGAATAGTTGATTTGAATTGGTCTTTTTGCAGTTTTGTTCTTGCCTATTGAAACGATTAACAAAACCTCATATATATCACTTTACATGAAGTAAAATTTTCATAAATTATCTCAATTGAATGTGTATGATTGATTTTTGGTCGAATCATAAAGGTGGATTTAATTTTAAAAAAAATTGACCGAATGAGTCTTCCACAGTAAAATAAAAAACAAAAGACTATATATATATATATATATATATATGAAAAAACAAGTAGAAAAACAACTAGAAATTTTATAATGCTCAACGAGTAATTAGTATATATGTATACTAGTTATTTCATACATCAACTTTTATAGAGAATTATATTCGGATCCATAAAAAATGATAAAAAGATTTTTACATTGGTTCAATATTTTTTTAATTTTCTCTGTCCTATTTCTCCTTCTTTTTTGTGTTTATCTCTCTTTATAAAGTAACTTACACAAATTACTCTTTAAGTATTATAAAAATTTTTAAAAATAACTAACTTTTAAGTAGGGATAGTAATAAATCAATTATGAAGCCGATATCTCGCGATCTAAAAAAAACACTAACTAAAACAAAAGCAGCTAATTTTTAGAATAATTATTACTGATTTTTTTTTTTATTAGGAGGGTCAAACACTTTGAAATTACAAACGAATAATTGGAGAAAATAAAATCCACAAATATCATTTCACAAAAGTCTTAGGAAATCAAAACGAGTTTCTATAAAATAGTGAAATCTAACATCTAAAATAGCATAACTGGCTAGCCAATCCGTGCTTCGTTTTCTTTCTCGATAGATGTAGTAAAGACAAACATTTCAAGAATATCGCTACCTTATCATTTTTAGCTACTAGTTTCATAACCAGTTTAAAGTTCTACTTTCCTATAGCCTTCATGCCAAGCAAGCCAGGAAACAATTCAAATCCGAGACAACCTGAATCGAACCCATCTAATCAAACTGTCAATTAGCAAGTTTATTTGCATGAAAAATATTATTTGATCATGAAAAATGAATAGTTAAAAAATTATTAGGTACATCAAGAATTATACTTTGTGCTCTCACAAAAATATGAGACCTATGAATTGTTTTCATGATGTATTGATCTATTGTCTTTATGAGAGAATTGAATTTACCTCCTGACATACCTAATGATTTCTGCTAAAATATTTAGTTAGGAAGCAGATCATTTTAAAAAAATATATGATTTTTATGACATGCAAAAAACTTGGCAAAGACATAGCTTTTCCCTCAGAAAGTCCTTGACCTGTTCTTCTGTCCCATGAAGTGGATTAGGAATCATTTGGATTAAGGAGAAGGAAGCTTCTGTTTCCAATAAGAAGGAACAGAATGGAGCGAAGATACAACATTTAAGCTATATTATCCCTAAATCCTTGCATGCAGGATAAAATTCTCATCACTCAGGACCGATTATTCTGGTGTGAAATATATGCAATCCTCTATAAAAAGCTCCTATGAGTAAGGACTCGAAGAAACTCAATTATTTCCTGGCAACAACCACGGCAAAACTTCTTATTAGCTGCCTTCTCTTTATCTCTCTCAATCTTGCTATCCTTGCCCCGATCAAGACAAGGCCAGGCAATTGTTTACAGCAGATGTGACTCCTTCAGGCTCTAACTTCACCTACGTGTGTGATCCTACAAGGGCTTCTGCTCTGGGACTTGAAATTGCAACCTATCCATTTTGTGACACCTCTATTCCCTATAGTGCAAGAGCAAAGGATTTAGTGAGCCGAATGACACTCGAGGAGAAGGTGCAGCAGATACGAAATACTGCAGGAAGAGTGCCTAGACTGGGGCTACCTTTTTATGAATGGTGGAATGAAGGACTCCATGGCGTAGCCAATACCGATCCGGGAACGATCTTTGATGATCTAGTCCCCAACACAACTAGCTTTTAGGCTATTATTCTCACAACAGCTTCATTTAATACCACACTCTGGAAAACCATCGCCCAAGTATGTGCACACATATACATATACATATATGGTTGTTTTTTTGTTTCTTATATATATATATATATATATATATATATATATATTGTAGTGAGTGAATTAGATAAATATTTGATTGAACATATTGGATGTGCTGAAAGAGAATTTCAACAGAAGCAAGAGCAATATACAACTTAGGACGTGGTGGATTAACATACTGGAATCCAAATATGAACGTGGTAAGAGATCCTAGATGGGGCAAAGCCATGGAGACTCCAGGGGAAGATCCTTTTATTGCAACAACGTATGCAGTTAATTATGTGAGAGGACTACAGGATTTTGAGGGAACAAGAAAGCACAAAGATTTGGATTCGGCGCCTCTCAAAATTTCTGCATGTTGCAAGCATTATGTAGCCTATGATCTCAAAAACTGGCAAGGAAACGAGCGCTACAGATACGATGCTAAGGTGATTAATTAAGTGTGTATATTTATTGAAAGGAATGTACTCAATATTTAATTTGTAGTAATTAATGTTTTAATTTAAATTAGGTGACAGAGCAAGATATGGCAGAGACATACGTTGGGCCCTTTGAAACGTGTGTTAAAGATGGTTTTGCTAGCAGTCTTATGTGCTCCTATAACGCCATCAATGGCATACCTACATGTGCCGATCCAAAACTCTTAAATCAAACCGTCAGGGGACAATGGAACTTTCAAGGGTATATCGTATCAGATTGTGATGCTGTAAAAGACATCGCAGTTAACGATAAATATATCGGTGACACGTCTGAGGATGCAGTTCAGCAATCACTAAAAGCAGGCATATAGGCTATAAATATTTATCCCCACTAGCTAACCACCTTCAACTTTCTTAGACAATTTTTCTAACTTTCATATGTGTGTAATAGATAGGAACTGATTTGAACTGTGGAGATTACTACCCGAAGTACGCAGTAAATGAAGTGAAGCAAGGAAAGGTGAAGGTTGAAGATATAGACAGGTCACTTGCCTACCTTTATGTTGTGCTTATGAGGCTAGGATATTTCGACGGAACCCAAAATACCAAAACCTTGGCACCAAAGATATATGCACAAACAGCAACATCGAGTTGGCCGCAGAAGCTGCAAGACAAGGAATAGTCCTACTGAAGAATGATAATGGAAGTTTTCCTTTCAGCTCAGCTAATATAAAAAATCTAGCTGTGATCGGACCACATGCTAATGCTACCTACAATATGCTTGGAAATTATGCATTTGATGCCTGGCGTCCTTCAGGAAGACCATGCCGCTTCACTACTCCTATTGATGGATTATCAGCGTATGCAACTGTGAGTCATGCAGCAGGTTGCTAGGAGGTAAAATGCCAAGTCAATGAGACCTTGATGTCTGCAGCCCTTGATACCGCAAAAACTGCTGATGCCACTGTTTTGGCTATAGGGTTAAACGCATCGATCGAGACTGAAACTACTGACAGAGTGGATCTCCTCCTTCCTGCACCCCAAATCGAGCTTATTAAGCGAGTTACCGGAGTCTCCAAAGGCCCAGTTATCATTGTACTTTACTGTTCTGGAAGTGTTGACATCGATTTTGTTTATGATGTCCCTCAAATTAAAGCCATCCTATGGGCCGGATATCCTGGAGAAGAAGGTGGTCGTGCCATTGCAGACATTATTTTTGGCCAATATAATCTCGGTAAGCATTTTCTTTATTCTTTGTCTTTTGATCTCTAGGGACTTTCTGAATCGCTGTTTGCATGTGTGTATTCAGGAGGAAGATTACCAACTACATGGTAACAAGCAGATTATGTTAATCAGTTACCAATGTCATCAATGTCTTTTAGACCAGTCGGCAAGTTTCCAGGACGAACATATAGATTCTTCGATGGACCCACAGTTTTCCCCTTCGGCTATGGCCTGAGTTACACAAGATTCACCTACAAGCTAACATCCTCCATCAATTCAGTCTCCGTAAGGTTTGATAAATCTACCAAGTGCCGCGACATCGAATACAGTAACAAGGGGACCAAGCCTGAATGTCCTGGAGTTTTAACAGAAGAGTTGAAATGTAAAGAACATTTCCGATTTGAAATTTTAGTCCATAATGTTGGTAGCAGAGATGGGTCTGAAACAGTGTTGGTCTACTCCAAACCCCAACAAGGTTTCATCGGAACTCATTTGAAGCGGGTGATTGGATTTCAAAAAGTTTTTGTACCCATTGGCAGTAGCCGAAAGGTGAAGTTTGTGCTGAATGCTTGCAAGAGTTTAGCCATCGTAAACTATGCTGCGTATACTCTTTTACCATCCGGTAGCCACTCTATCGCAGTTGGAGATGGAGATGGCGCAGTTACGTTTCCTGTTCGAGTCACCTTGGGTAGCAATAACAGTTTTAGTATTGGTCAAGACACGGTGAAGAAAAATTAGTTGAGATACGATAGATAATGCGTTGTAATTTATGAAATATGAGGATGTAAACTGTAAAGTGTTGTAGTCATCAAATTACAAAATGGTGTAAATAATTTTCTATTATATATTATTCTCTTTCTTTTAAACAATATATATTTCTTATAGATCCAAAATATATATGCACCGATCAATGTAAATAACTAAAATGACAAATTTATCTCTTTCATTAAAATATATATATATATATATATATATATATATATATATATATATATATATATATATTAATTTAGCTCTCAATACTTTTCTAAAGGAAAACTAACCAACTAAGAAGATAATATTGCTCATTATCATTGCCAGCATTTTAATTGTCATCCACTACCACTACAATGGTTAATTTTTATTTTTATATAATTATTTATAAGTACACTAATTTTTAATTTTCTCTCAATTGACTATATAGATTTTAATTTTATTTGTTGATATATATTAAGTTTTTAATTTATATTTCTCGTCAAATTTTCAAACTAAATCATTAAAATTAGTTGACTATGAATGAAAAATTTCTATTTGTTATCTATTTTGTAAAGATATTTTAAAAATAAAAAATAATCATGAGTAAATTACGTAATTAATTTTGATTGTTTGGCCAGAAATCTTATCATAATGATAAATTAAAAACTTAATATATATTCAACAATAAAATTAGTTCAATTGAAAATATAAAGATGGATTAGAAATTATTTTATTATATAAGAATTTATTTAGCCATTAATTCTTATTTAAGTTGAAATAGTTTTTTTAGCCCAATGCTTAACACATTTATCCATGCTTCTAATTAAACGAGAAATATTTGCATGATAAAACATAAAATAATTGATTATTTGTGATTTAAAGCTTTTAGAGAGGAGATCAATTTTTTTATTTGACCATTGAAGCCATGAAAAGGTAATTGGCCCAATAAGATGGTGAAGCCCAAATAAAAAGAGCTCGATGCTCTAACCGAATGGGCAAAGCAAATCGACCCAAAAAAATGAAAAAAACTACGAGGACCAAAAAAGATTATTAAAGCCCGGAAAACAACACACAAGCCTGAATATTCTTTTATATGGGTGCCTCCATTACAGCTGAGTTGCGTCATTTATTTTTGGCCATTTTTTGTCCAGTATATCCTATAGTTACAAAATTTTATTTTTCAACAAAAAATTTAATTATAAGTAGAAACTACAATTTTAACCCAATTTTTTTCTTTCAATTTCAATAATGCTAGAGTTATGTCATAAAAGAACACTACAAGAAGACCTACAATGTCAACAATCAATGCATCCCTTCCTCCAACCGGAAGTGTGTGATGGAGAAGGAAACAATTACTTGAACTACTACATTTGTTCGTAGAAAAACAAGAAATCGCAGCTTAAAGAATCCTTAGAGCATATTTCTATCTCAAGCATCATTCTTGTTTAGACGTTCTTGCCAACGAAAAAAACCAAAGAAAAGCAACCAGAAAATAATGGGTTAATATTAGCAAGAAGAAAGTGTTTTGGGCCTTAGTGTGTTTGATTGTCATTTCATGTAGAAACAAAATGGATTAAATCATCTCCGATCTGCTCTGTAGTCTATTATAGAACAATCTTGTTTTTTTGAAGAGTACTAATCCTATGTCATCATTGTGTGAGTTTCTTAAAGGCTAAAATGCGAAAATAGCCTGGGTGAGTACCCTTAGAACTTTGTTACTGTGTTTCGAATTGAAGGGTCAATGTTCGCTGCTTCAGTATGTTTTCTGACAGTGATGAATATAATTAGCCTTTAATTTGGGTTGAGAATTGGTATTGTAAGCTCAAAACCCAGGACTCACATCATCAATCAGGAATTTGAATTCCTGCCAACTACAGTGTGTAGGTAACAAAACACATTATTTTTATAGAAAAAATAACAAACAGAGAACATGGAGGTTCTCTCTGACGCACAAACATCTTTTCCAGAAACGAAAAATCTCTCAATAAAATGTTTTGGTATCTAAGCTGTGGAAACCATGTGTGTTTTTTTTTTCCATATATATACGCTCTGACGTTATGAGCACTTGAAATAATACAAAACTTGGAGCTTCTACAAACCCTACAAGATGAAATAGAGTTTCAATCCTTATGTACCTTATCTTTTCTCGGAAATATATTTATCGAATCTTAATCCAAAAGTAATTATTGGGGCTTGTTTTGCTTGTTAGTCAAGCATCTCCCAATCAACGAGATTCTAATAAGAACCGGCTCGACCATTTTATTCAATAAAGCTCTCGGGCTACAGACCGTTACTCTTGACAGCTACATATTCTTTCTCGAGAGGAACTGAACTCGCTTCTTACCCCGACTCCACTCCAGAGCAATGCCATGACCAGTTCGAGAGCCTTCCATGCGGATTCCTTCAAAGAGAAAGAGAGAGTAGCGAAGGATAAATATATTGAGTTTGAATCCTTTTGAGTCTTGTTTATGACATCTTACAAATTAAACTAGAGAAAACAAATGGAAGGTTGCATTTGGCAATTAGAAAGGAGACTGTATTATGGGCCTAAATTGGTTAGATTGTCTTTCCACGTGAAAATGAAATGGATTGGTCTTGTTCTTGAGCTGGCCCAGCTGCCTGTTGCTCGTTGAGCTTCACTGCGTAGTACATCCGTGTAAACTTTGCAGAAGGCAAAAACAGACGCAAAATTAACACAGTGATTTCAGCCTTTCAGTCCATGAAAGTCGAGAGGGCCTTTAACCCTATATACGACTTGTGTCCATTTGTAATTGTATACATGTCTTTATCACTTCGTAGTTCCAAAAATAAAAAAATTTCAGTTTTTTCCCCTTTTCAAAGACAAGCATGGTTACATTTATCTATTTTTTTTTTTAATTTCTAATTAAATTCCTTCATGATTGGATGTGAAGCAAGTCATCAATATTAGACTGATGTATTCAAATGATTTTTTTTTTTTTTTTTGAGTCTCAGATAGAACCAATTCATATTTTAAATGATAACATGAAAAATAAACTAATTCAGTAAAGAACAAAAACTCAAAAAACAACACACAAGCCTGAATATTATCCCAAAAATAAACTAATTCTCTAAAGAACAAAAACTCAAAAAACAAATGATTTGTTAATATTTACATGAAGGACGATGATTATAAATTGAAGAAAAAACATAGTACTTATGATAATATAATGTTTTCACCTTATTTATGAAATTAAAAATAATTAGATTATAAAAACCTATTGACATCTACTATATCAGTACACGTTTCTTCATGATAAACCTATAAAATTATCAAGAAAAAAAAAATTGTTTTATCAATAGAAAGTATGCTTAGTTTAACGTAAAACTTAGTTTTTCAGTTTTTCTAAGAAGAAATACTTGACCATCGACAATAAATAGGATCTCATTATGGTGATCACGGTTGGTATATATATATATATATATATATTGTTATAAGGTATTGGTAAGATTGTAACTTTGAAGAATGAGGTGACTCTCTTGTCAATTGCATGCCCTTTTTTACTTTATAAAAAGACGCCTTATAAATTTTTATTTAATGGGCTATCCCATTATAGTTTTGGATACTTTTTTATAAGTATATATTTATACCAAGACTCTAGATAAATTTGTGGGCTACCCTTATGGTCAGAAAGACTACCTGATTTTTTATTTGAACAGCCGCAAAATATATTCTTCCCATGATGTCGATTTTTGGAGGACATTTTTCCATCCCACTACTATTCTTTCCGTTGACAATAGGGCAGGTCCATTTAATGGCCCACGGGTTGAAGACCACAATCATGCTGATTTTAGGCCACTGATTCTCAGACGGGACGAGCCAATTGAGTCCAGCACTCCAGTTGTGCAACGAGACCCTTATTTCCTTCGAGCACAGGCCGAAGACAGTGGGCCACTGCTTTCTACACAAGCCCAAGAAGCTGGATCATCGCTCAGCACCGGACCATCTCCTGCCACACAAGCCCAAGAAGTTTTCCTCCACACTAGACCATCTTCTGCTTTGCGGCCTGCTAATGTCCAGTCCACAAGTCTTGGGTCCTCCACTACTGACCAGGCCATCACTACAGACTCTACACGCCCAGCTTCTCCTCGTGTAGTGCAGCCTACTGTCACGGAATTGGTGGATACTGGATCTTTTAGTGCTGGACATCCAGCTGGTCCGAATTTCGCTAATTTTTCTCATTGTGATTATTTGGATCAGGTACCACTTCCGGACTCTAGTGGACCTATGTCTTCCTCTCCGGTTAAACCTCGCACTCGTTTGTCCAAGAATCTCTCGGTTTTAATTTTACTTTGCCACCTTCTCTTTTTCCTCCCTCCCTTTTGTATTCCCTGTGCCAAACTCTGATGCATCTTTTATCTTATAATATTTCATATAAGAAATTTTCTAGTACTCAAAAAGTATTTTTGGCAGCCATCTCTTCTATCAATAAACTTACATCTTTTTCTGAGGCAATTCAATATAGTCAATGACGAAAGGCATGGACAAAGAAATTTCTGTTTTGGAAGTAAATCAAACTTGGGCACTTGTTCTCTTACCACTTACGAAATGAGCCACTGATTCTAAATTAGTATACAAGATTGAATTTAACTCAGACTGCTCTATGGAGAGATATAAGATTCATGTTATGGTAAAAAAAATACATTTAGATCGAGGGGCATTGCTTTTCATCAGACATTTGCATTAGTTGCCAAACTAGTTATAATTTGTTGTCTTCTTGCTATTGCTTTAGAGAGCAATTGGAAACTCCACCAATTAGACATCAATAATGCTTTTTTACATAGTAATCTTAACGAAAAAGTCTATATAAAAATCCCTTAAGTTTTGTTAAAAAGGAAGAGCAAAGGGTTTGTCCCTTTCAAAAATCGTTTTATAGACTTTGTCAAGCATCTCGAACCTGGTATTGAAAATTCAATTAGTCTTTATTGGTTGTGGGCTTTCTTTAGTTTTTTTCTGATCACTCTTTATTTACCTTTTTCTCAATAAGCTTTATTTGTTGCAATTCTTATTTCCGTCAATGATATGATTATTATAAGTACTAACATAGCTAAAATCTATTTGGTCAAATAATATTTGGACAACAAGTTCAATATTAAAGACCTTGGAAAACTTAACTATTTTTTGAGTTTTTTAAGTTGCACGCTCCTGACTGGCATTACTCTAAGTCAAAGCAAGTGTGTTTTTGACATCTTAGTTGAATTTGGCTTGACTAGTTGCAATCCATTCTCCTCATCCATGGATTAGCAGCATAAACCTGATCTTGATTCTCACACTTCTTGTGCCTATCCTAGTAAATATCGCCATTTTGTTGGACATTTGTTTTATCTCACCATCACCCCTTTTGATATTAGTTATGCAATGCACATTCTGGGTCAATTCATGCATAGGCCACAACAGCCACATCTGATGCTACTATCAAGATACTCTGCTATCCCAAACGTGCTCTTGGGCGTGGCATTTTGTTTCTTTTGGATAGTTTCTTATCCTTGAAGGAATATTGTGATACAAATTGAGCTGATTGTTCAATTACTCGTCGATCAACCATCAGCTATATGGTGTTTATGAAAACATCACTAATTTCATAGCAATCAAGAAAGAATCCATTATCTCTTCTTCATCAACAGAAGCTAAATATAGGGCTATGACGACCACTATAATGAGATTGTTTGACTTGTGCTATTACTTTCTAATTTGGGTGTTCCTCATCCTAGTCTTGTTTCTCTATTTCGCGATAACCAAGTTGCTCTTTATATTGACAATTCTATCTTTCATGAGCATAGGAACCATATAGAGATAGACTATCGTTTCATTCAAGCAACACATTCAGTTCAAGCTATTATTGTCACAACTAATCTCTACTCGGTACCGGTTGACTAAAACTTTTACCAATGCTCTCGGGAATGATCGTTTTCGGATCTATTACACAAGTTGGGCATTTATAATCTTTATGCTCCAACTTAAGGGAGAATAATAAAGGTAATTATCTCATATTTAAGACAAAAATATTTTATCATTGCTACAGAATATTTTATATTTAATATATCCTTGTACATATGGATACTTTCATATTTTATTGCCCAATTATGGGAAGTAGTTAGCCTAAATTTTAGGATTATTGATTGTTAAATAACTCTATAAATCTTCTCTTATTTCTCCATAATAGAAACAAACAATGATATTTTTACATTCTCTTCATCCCTGACAAGTGTGATGGTGGAACTTGTTAGTTAATGACATTGATGATTGCTATAATACTTGTAAAAACAGTGATATTTGTGTGAAAGAGATTTTCGAGTAATGAGAAAGAAGGTTTTTTTTTAAATCCTTTTATCTTACATTTTATGGTTGTTTATATAGTTATAAAACTTGTTAAGTCACTAAAAAGAAGGGTAAAATTCTTCTTCTCTTTGTTGCCAATAACTTGTGATTATATTTAGGAAATAAGTGTATTTGATATCGATGAGTTACTAATGAATAAATATGATGATGTAATAGTTACTATGAATTGAACAAAAGTGATTTTGAAAGGGAGACTTCATTTAATGTACGTCTTGTCTTTTTAGTTGATGGAAACTTTGTGCAATTTTTCTAACCATTGGCCGACGACCCAAGATAATCCTGATTGCAATAATATTGACATATATCATAGTTCTTCACGTTCTTAAATGAGATTCGAGAATTGCGAATATCTCGAGCATATAAGGTATGGTTCTGTCACAATTTGGATGCCCAATTTTTTATTTCTTTGAATAAGCAGTACCAAACTATGAATTAAATTGAAATTGTATGAGAAAAAAAAAAAAGGATTCATATTGAAAATTTCTTAATCATACGTCCTTTCATGGTAAGACACAAAGACCCCACTTTCCCCAAAATTCTTTAAGGAATAATTTGACTAGCTAGCCATCGATTTGTGAATTCAAAAATCAGAGAGACAGAGACCCACATTCAACAACCAGAACCATTAGTATAATTACAAAAAGTCAGAGTGTGCTATTGAGTGGAAATGGATTTCAGATAAGAAATACCATCATCCACCTGAGAAGACAACAAGAAAAAAATGAAAACAATGATGGTGGGGAACATACCTCCCTACTGTGAAGACAAATTTACACAAAAGAAATCCCAAAGTTGTCAGTTTTTACCATGATTTAGGCTGCAGAATCTTGCAAAGTTTATGACATGATTAAACTAGCGTAGAGTGTTGCCGGGACAATCTTATAAAAATTTGTTTCAATATTTTAATAATTGTGAAAATTTAAGAGAGCCAACTAAAAGATAAATAATAATATTAATTTAGTATAAATATTTTAATTTAATTTGTATTTTATAGTAGTTAATATCGAGTGTGTTTTTTTTTTTACTTTAAATATATTTTATACACATGTTTGGTTTTAATAAATGAAAAAAAAAACAAGTATTTAATCATTTATTTATATCACCTAAAAATCTAATTAAAAGAATCAACAATGCAAGAATTGACAACAAAAGAGTGCTTGAGCAATCTTTATAAGGATGCTTAATTTTAACCAATGAGTCCATAACTATTGCGTAAAAAACCTCTTTGTTCTCTACTTGATGATTATTATTATTATTATTATTTCACATAAATGTAATTTTAAATATTTTTTTAATGCATGTTAAAAAATCATGATCAATTTTAAAATGATAATTAACCAACTAAAAATTAATATATAAGATGACAAATTATCAACTATCAAATCCTCATTATTTAGACCATTTCTTCTTTGGAATATTAATCCACAATTAACACCAATATTTATATATATAAAAATCATAGTTACATTAATTTTGAATTAATATTATTAAATTTTTCAAAAGCATGCGTCATATATTGATTAATTATCAATTATCAAATTTTTATTATTGTCATAAAAAAAATTGGCAATCGATCATTATGTTTTGTAAGGTTGCATGAAGAAGAGTAAATTATAAATTAATTTTTATATTTTTGAGAAATGAATTAATTAGTCTCTTGTTTGGAAAATTATTATTTAGTCCCTATATATTTAATTTTAATAACTTAATCTTTTGCTTCTTTTTTATTTTATTTTGATTTTTTTAAGAAATAAGAAATATAAGTAAAATAAAAAACTTTAGGAGGAGTTTAACTTCAATATATATATATATATATATATATAGAATGTGTAGAAGAACTGACAAATATACACCTAACTAGGGTCTGCACATGTCACAAACATATAGTACTTTTGAGTTGTTGATAGACAAATTAAGCTTTACATTCACGTCATATTAGATTCAATCTTTTTGAGAATCTTACCATAAAACAATTTCTTGTGATAGTTAGTCTAATTAGTCTATGTATAAATGTTCTTGTTGAGTATGATTTGTATTCTAGATCCAAAGCTATGGAGCTTTTTTATTCATAAATTCGCAAGCTTTCTTCAAGGATAGAAGACGAATATGATTACATTTGTTAGGGACTTCAATTAGATAGTTCAGGGTTCGAAGGTGATCCAACCCAATACACATTAAAGTTATGTTATGTATTAATTTGATGCATTCATTTTCTCTTATTAAATGAACATTCATTTTGTATTGTGAGATTTGAGTATATTTAGGTTTAATTAGGGTTCTAGAATTTTTCAAACTTTTATTGTTTTAATATAGTGAAATTTTCTTGTTATAATGGAATTCACATTGCATGATAATTTCTTTTTATATTTATTATAATAATTCTCTTTATTGCATTTTGTGATCCTAATATTCGTTAAGTTGTGAAGATTGATGTTGATATAATCCGCAATTTAGTACCTTACGATAAAATTAGCATGATAATTCTCGGTGTATTAGGTCGGGTTTATTGGGTTAGGTATATAAGTTTGCTAGGATTTTTAATAAATTTAGTTTTCCACACTATAATTATGATCATTATCTCTTGTATTTTCTAGTCGATTAAAAAATCTAGTAAGAACTTCTAATACAATTGTAAAGTAGACACACTTGCTTAACTACCTAAATCTTTGATTGTATGATTGTTATCGTCTTTTATTTTTTATCTTCTTGCTTGATATATTTTGTAAGACATTTGTTATTGTCTTTTATTTTTTATCTTCTTGCTTGATTTGTTTTTTAAGATGATGGTTTTTAAGATGGCACTGAAAAGGGATTAGTTTTATACCTATGGAAGCTAACCCTCAGTGTAACTTTATTTCCAAAAAAAAAAAAAAATGGGCATGCTGAATTTTCTTGTACAAGCAAATTGCATATAATGTACTATGTACGCATGGGTTTTCTAAAAAATTACAACTACTTGTGTAATCTGCCGTAATTAATAGATTATATATGTGTACATGCAAAAATGTGTGACAAAAGAATAAATATGAATTTAAAGAATTTAAGAGAGGAATAGTCAGCTTAGGCAAAGACGTGCATGCCACAAACAAAGAGAAAAAAGTCGTAAATAATTGCACAGGTCTATTTTATGAAAGTTGTGATAATCATTAGGATTTCCGGGCGTTGAAGAAAAAGATCATGCAAAATTAACTGCAAGCAATAATAGCTCATCTCTTTCAATACCCAAGCTACAGTCTTCTGAAGAGACAAAGCAAAGTTCAGGATCACATGAGCTTCTATAACTTGTGACTTTTCTGGAGTCAGGACTCCCATATTCCTGCCAGAAGTTCATTGATTTGGCCAGAGTCACGGAGTTTTGGACTAGAATATAATCCACTAGGTTTTGTCCCTGTGTTTTCCAAAATGTTTTTTCGTGTCTGCTTGTGTATATACATTATTGTACCAAGGAGTCAAGATTCAAATTTCAACATTTGTGAACGTTACTATGTCACATTCTCGTATGAAATCAAGATTGAAAGGGGAAAAAGACTTTATGCATCTAGAGTGATGGACTATAATCCCATGAGCTTTTGGTCAATGTCAAAATAATTAATGATCAACTAAAAAATAAAAATTAATAATCACAAAGTGATAATCCATTAATAAACAAGTATTGACTTAGATATCAAATTCAGGATTTAATTCTTATAATAAGTAATTTTTGAGAATTTATTTTTAGAATATTTAAGGTCGTGTGTTGAAAAATATTCTTGAGCTACGTAAAGAGATGAATTAATCTCAAAATATATAAAAATTAACGAAGAATACTTTTATTACCGAACTAAAAAAAATAATCTTTATATTTGATTAATATTCATCTAGGACCCGATGGTACATTCGATCATCAAAAGTGATTACTTTCACCGATAAAATCATCTCTACAACATTCCAAATATCACTTTTATTTTTTTATTACCATTCGAATACAAGTTTTAATTATAAATCAAAGTTGAATCTTGAGTTTGGAATACTTCTGGGTTTTCGACATTAAGTTTGGAATAGTTTTTTTTTTTTTAATTTAAATGGGATTAGGATGTGATTTAAGTGATGTTAAAATCCAAACATCAAGTCAGAATAGCGAATGTAATTATAATTAGGATTCCATTAATTCATAAATGAAAACCTAATAAAAGTTGATTAATTGAGAAAACTTTAAAATTTTGAAATTGTAAGTAGGAATATAATTTATTTTTGGGCAAAATTCAATTAGCCCCCATGAAGTTTATGTGTTTTTTAATTTCACATAAATTTTTTTATTAATTTGAATTAAACCCTATATCTTTTTTTTTTCCCACTTTGTGTAAATTTCAATTTCATCTCTAAAGTTTATGAATTATTTCAATTTAATCCAAAAAGTGTTATTTACTGACAATATCATAAAAAAGAAAGAGAACATGACAGGTGGGGTATATTAGAATGGTAAAATTTTTGATAAAAAAATAAAGATAATTAAATTAATTTGAATCTTGATTTTTATTTAGCTATAGTATAAACAAAGAAAAAGATAATGTAGAAAGTAACTCTCTCAAGTTTTATTATATTTGTTTTAATAAAAAAATACATTTTCTATTGATTCTTTTTATTTTTCGAAGACGTTGAGATATTTTATAAACTTCAAGAATATAAATAAAATTTACACACCTGGCCAGAATGAACGGAGGGGGAAAATTGAAACAAAAATGAAACGTATTGAGACTAATTGGAACACAAACAGAAAGATATAGAGGCAGATTGCAAGAAATGAATAGTATTAAATAAAATTGAAAAAACACATAAATGTGAAGAAAAAAATTAAAATTTACCCTTTATTTTTATTTTTTAATTTAGGTAGTATTTTGATAGTTTAGAAAATACTCCATTTCAGGCTAAAAAAAATGAGCCACGCATTCCTTTCAAATGGAGGATTTACGATTTCATATTTTGCCAAGTACCGATGCATTCAACTATTGCCCTAGAGAGCAGATCCAGCCATCATTACAGTACCAAAACAAGCTAAAAATGGTGATGCGTAGATACACACTACTTTGCAAAAGGATTTCTAGGCTTATGTCATACAGAATACACTTCAAATCACATCGGTTTCTCTTGAGCTATTTTAGCAGAGCTAACTGTAAATGAACCCAAAAAAGACGGTAAAGATAACCCAAACCAGTCTTTACAAGTCAAACCTTTTTTTGGGCAAGAGTTGAATCCTCTTGGAGTAGGCGTTAAAATTGCAATAAAGAGACGTCGGAGCCTCTTTAAAGCTTAGCTCCGGTCCAAAAGCAAGGCATGCATGCGTGCCCCAGCTGCACCAATATATGCCTTTGCCTTGTAAAAGAACCCTGTTTTCTGACCTACTTAGCAGATCTTTTGAGGCTTTCTGTCTCTCTCTCTTTCTTTCTCTGCAAAAGTAAAGCAGCCCTCTTCTGTAACGTTTTACCAAGGTAACACTACCCTACTTTTTCATTTTCTTTTTGGGGTCTTTTCTTTTTGGCCTTTTTCTCTTTCATTTTGCTTTCGCTTCTCTTTTTGGAAGTTTCCCATCACCCTCCTCCTTCGTCCCTTTTGTACCCCCATCGATCTGATCCCTCCGCTGAGAAAAGAGAGCTCCATTCCATTTCACTTTATATATTAAAAAAAAAACCCTAAAACTTACTATTTTGGCATGATGATTAATGACAAGAAAATTCTCAACTAAAACTTTCATTTTTCTATGGTTTGAACTTGTATCAGACTCCAAAGTCCAGAATTTTAAAATAGAATTTGTGATTAGAAAGAGTGGGATGAGGTTTGAACTTGATAATTTAATCACTTCAGCTCTCGTATTTTATAAATCTATGAAACTTGTAGGTTCAATAAAAAATAACCATTGACGCCCAAGTTGAACATTAACTAATTATAGCCAATTTAATTTTCAAAAACAAGAATGAAAATATTTAATTTCTAGTACAGGGAAAGCTGCAAGGTGAAGGAATTTTGGAGTAGGTTTGTAGCGTAGGGATATGCGCGTGAAGCTCATAATTCTCAATTTTAATTCAAAAATAAATAAATTCCTCTGCCACTCTGTAAGAATTCTGCTTTCGTAAGAGAGGAGAGTATCTGTCTGTAGCTGGAGTCTGAACTTACAACTTTATAGACGATGTCACACTCCATACTCTATGCAGAAATGTGGGATTAATATTGTATTTTGATACTTTACTCTTAATTTTACCCCAATTTGGTCCTTCAACTCTTTTTTGTTCTAATATCATGCTTCTTCTATAGTTATTTTTCATAATCACATGGTCCTTATATTAATTGCTGGCTTGCCGTCTTTAATTATACTTTAAGTGCACCTGATGACACCATCCGGCGTCAAATTTTCACATGAATTACCAGTGAGATTAATGTTGTTTATGGTTAGATTTAACGAAATGACCAAATGATTACGTAAAAAGGTGATAGAAGAATGATGGTAGGATGAAAAAGATAGGGGGACTAAATTAAAGTAAGACAAAATCAAGAGAAATGCGGGTAAAATCTCCATTAACGCCTCAAAATGTACACACTTTTTCTGTTGAACAATCACAGTCTTCTTGCATGAGAGGTCAGATTGTTAAGCCCAATAGTTGATGTTTAAAACCTTTCATGTTAATAACAACAACCAAATGTACAAACAATGTGTGTCCAAATTCCAAAAGCAACCTGACTTATTCTGACCTATCTCTCCTGTAAATGCAGGAAAAAAAGAAAAGCAAGGTTAACGTCTGCTTTTACCCTTTGTAATACCATTTTCAATACGGCAACAACAAACAACAAAATCCTAAAACGAAGTGCAAAAGCTCTCTCTTTTTATCTCTTAACCAAAACCTCCCCATGTTACATCTCTCTCCCCCTTTAACCTACTATAAAACCCCACCTCTAAACCCTAAAATAAACCAACACAAAAACAATCCCTCTCTCTCTCTCGTTCAAAGCTTTCCCATCTTTTCTTTTCTTTCAAATATGGAAGCTCTCTACTTCCTCAAGTTCTGGAGACCCGCCACCAACACCCATAAAGAAAGCCGACCCTCTAGTGGAAGCAGTGATGACACCACCGAGATCCCATTCACAGATCATGAATTTGAAGAAGGGGAAGACTCGTTTTTTGAATTGGAACTTACTGTGCCTGATTTTGACACCAATAAAAGCAGCAGTAACAACACCACCAACATAAAAAACAACCACCCACTAGACAAAGATAGCAACGTCTTTGACTCTAAACAAGCACATCTCGACAATTTAGCCGACAGAGAGAGCCACAACCCTCAACACACGTTTCAACACCCAACTCTTTCTACTGATCATCTCCTTTCAAAGAGAAAAATCCTCCCCATCGAACCCCCATCATCAAAACCTCAGTCTCCAATCTCCTTGCTAAAATCAGCTCCAAGGTTTAAGATCCTCATGTTCAAGAAATCAAAGTCAATGGCATCACAAAAAACAGAGAAAACAGGGGAAACAGAGCACTTCAATGGAGATAACAAGAAGCATGAAAACAGCAAGCATTTCACTGTCAAATTCAAGCTTGAAGAGGTCACAAATGTTTCTTTTTTCACTAAACAAAACAGCCTGAGAAAGCAAATCGCTAGTGGTTCTGATGATAATGATACATCAAAGCGATTTTCAAAGGAAATGATACAAAAGTACTTGAAGCTAATCAAGCCATTATACATCAAAATTTCTAAGAAACAAAGTGACAAGATGAAATTCTCCGGTGATTTATCAGTTGGGTCTCCGACATCTTCTCCGGCAACGGTGCCGGCAAAGGAAAAACAGGGGAATTTGCCGGCGGGGATTAGAGTGGGTTCTAGGCATCTTGGGAAGAGCAAATCAGCTTCAGCGACCGCCGGAGTTTCTCCTCCAACTGTGAGTAGGAGAGATGATTCTCTACTCCTACAACATGATGGAATTCAAAGTGCTATCCTGCATTGCAAGAAATCTTTCAATTCTTCTAGAGGTGATAAACTTTTAACACTTCTATTCTTTTTTAAACTTGTGCTTTACAGTATTTTTTTTTAAAAAAAAATATGATGTAATCTAACTCTTTTTTATGTTGATTTTTTTCAGATTCTTCTTTAATGTCCCGATTTGCAAGCGACCCTTTGCATGAGAAATCAATGGCTTCACCCAGAATTTCATCAAGTGAAGAAAATGGAATGAAGTAAGCTTTGTTTCTCGAAATTCAAGAGAGAACAAGCGGGAAATATACAAAGAAAAGAAATTAATAGGGTTGTTTTTATGTAAAAAGAAAAAGAAAGGGAAGAAATTAGAGAAAGTAGGGTCGTTTTTGGTCTTTTCAGCCATGAAATATGATGGTAAGTTAGGAGAGAGGACAATAGGGTTTATTTCAGCTGCTTGCTACTGATATGGTGTTGTTGATGTCTGTAAAGTGATGATGGGTCATCATTAGAAACTTGAAACAGTCTGATATTAGATCTTTGTTGTATCTAATTCTAAATCTAAATCTAAATCTATTTTGATACCTCAAGTGTGGTCTTGTAGTTTGCAAGTTGGGTATTATGTTTCCTTTGGAAATATTTGAGTTAGTCCTTCTTGTCAGGAATGTAATCATATCTGGATTTGGTAGCTGAAATGACTTGATTGGTTTGCAAGAAAATTTTTTTCTTCTTCTTCCATTACTTAGTGCAGTGCTTTATACATCGGACAACAGAAGAATGAGATGAAAACGTTAACATGGGTAAAATATTTTAAATAATCCAAATTCAAAACGAGATTATGTAAGCAATATTTTGTGGTGAGAGAAATTAACAGGGAATGACATTTTCCACCGGATAATTGCTGAAGCTGAGGATTCTCTTAGTAAGTACAAAAAGTTTCTGTATGTGGGAATATTATTGGTGGATTATGTGGGCAGCATTTAGGTATTTGATTGATCACCATTACCAAGATGCTTTTGAACTAGAACTGGTCCCCAAAATTATTTGATTAGCTAAATTGGGTTTGAGAATGATGATAGTACTAAAGATTCTTACAACTTGTTTGTTCTTAAGAGATGCAACAAAATGGTGACATATTACCTTGCAAGATACCCTAAGTAACTTCATCCTGCATTACAATACGTTTGCTTTTAAAAAAGTATTTTTTTATTTTATTAAAAAAATTAAATTTTAATTTTTTTAATAAATATGATAGAGCTTTTTAAAAAGTACTTTTGAACAGTTATAAAGTATTTTATTTATAGTAATTTATTAATTAAAGTTTGATTTTGTTCAGAAAAGGGGAAAAAAACAGAAAAAGGACATTCACAGCGGTTAATGCCTTTGTGAGTCTCTCTCTGGCGGTCTGACCAGTGACCACCTGTGCTCTTACCTGTTTGCTGACAACATAAGTTTGAAGATTCAAATTGTCCGTTGGATGCGGCTAGGAAGCTGCTACTGTAAAAAGTTCCCCTTCATTAAAGATAATCCAATTACATTTATATACAAAACTAATTTTAAAATCTTGAATAAAAATCAAATCCATATATAATAAATTTTTTTTTATCAGTACTCAAATTTCGATATCTCATCTAATCTTCAACATAAAATATGTAAGTAAATCTATTGAAAAAAAAAAAAGATTAAATCCACAATTACCATTTGGATCTAAAATCTAGATCTAAATAAATTTTTTTAAAAGGGTTGACTGAAAATACTTTCAACTAGGAAAAAAAGATAAAAGAAAGGGGACAAAAAGAGATTAAGGGAGGAAGATCGAGGGCTGCGATTTCCACAATTACCATGAAAAAACATTCTTAATCCAACAGAAATTTACCAAGAAAATTGCTTCAATTTTTTTTTTCAACCTGCATGTTGCCTTTGGCTGACTGTCCTATGTCATAATTAAATCTCTTCTTAATTGAATTTTAATTTGGTCATTTACATGTAATCTTAAATAGGTTTTTCAACCTTTACGAATTTTTCTTTTCCTACAATCTTTTCTAAGATTGGAATTCTAGATAATGAAGAGAAAAGAAAATCTGCTTACCATCCGTTCTCAGGGTTTAATGGCTCAGATTTTAAAATTGACTCCCAACATTACAGTTGGTCAGGAACTAGACACATCAAGTTATGTGGCTACAGTTGGCTGGACAAATAACATGCAACATTTTGTGAAAGGAGCTGAATGGACCTCATGGTAGACATTTCCATCTTCCCTTGATTTGGCACACAAAGACAGGAAACGAGCACAAAAATCCATGGTTATTATTATTATCAGGGTGCAGTTTTCAAAGCTCAAACATCATAAATTGGAGACATTTGAAAAACAGAAAGCTAGAAATTTCAAAGGGTAAGCATGAGAAAGTGAGGTTTGTATTTTGGGTCATTGCTCGTATTAATGAAAGGAAGACCAAAGACCCTGCAATCTGCACTGCTATTTTCCAAAGCAACATCATGGTGACAAGAAATGCCGAGTGACCAGAAAACATAACCCCACATCCCATATCAGTCTACTCCCTGAACCACTACACAACTTGGCCCCCTTCATTACCAGGTAATGGGGTTGTTTGTTCCGAATTCACAGTACTTAGCACTCAAAAATTGAATTGCCACGCCCACAACAGTGCATTCTCTACATTTGTTGATCCAATTTCAAATTCTCATGTTATTTAGTTTCTAGGTAGGGGTAACTTAAGCTTACAACAAACATCCATAACAACGAGGAAGAGAATGAACCGAATATATCCCTTTTCTATGCAATCTACAAACAAGATTTGAAGATATTGTGGTTTTGTCTCCATACCAAGTTATTGCTATTGCTAGAGCACATATTCAATATTAAATAATTAAATAAAAAATATTAATATATAAGGTTGAAAAAGAATCATTCATCGCACTACTTAAATCTTTTGAATAGAATTCAATCAACTGTCTAACTTTATATGGTATTAGAACCTCAAAAAAGCCTAATGACTTAACAAAGATCCCGAAATTCAAACTATTTAACAAACCCTAAGAGATGGTTTTGTCTCTAGACCAAGTTATTATTAGAACACATATCTAATATTAAATAGTTAAAGTAAAAATGATTAATATATAAGGTTGAGAAAGTACTATACACCACACGACTTAAGTCTTTTTTATGAGATTCAATTTCAACCATATAATTTTATATGATATCGAATCTCAAAAAGATCTAACGACTCAAAGAAAGATTCTGAGCCAAAACCACTTGACAAACCCCAAAAAATAGACTGCAAGGGAGGGAGTGTTAGAGCACATATCCAATATTGAATATTTAAACTAAAAATAATTAATATACAAGATTGAAAAAGAGTTACCCATCGTAAAGTTTAAATCTTTTGGATGAAATTTAATCTCAATTATCTAACTTTATAGTTATGCTAGAATAAATTATGGAATATGATATGAAAAAAAAAAATTCCCTAAAATTCCGTAATACTAATGATCGGATGGTATAGATGTTCGCTTTGAAAATGGTTTTGGAGGACAACTAAAATTAGATGGATGTTTACTTCTACTATAACATGCTTGCTAGGTTGTTGCTTCCAAGTGACTCAGGAACTGACTTCATAACTCGAGACAGAGGATGCTAAAAGCATGGTTCATTGCATTAGGCACTAAGCATAAACCACCAAAGATGGCAAGAGTAAATAAAGGTGTTCAGGTCAGGCCAGCACCAAATCTTCATTGGAGGATCATAGATTTACCATGTTTTCCCCTTGGTTGAGCTCGAGTATTATGCAGTTTGGTGGCATTTTTATCAAGGTGATATAGATGCTAGCATCATGTCATGTGATCCCATTTTCCAATCTTAGCTTTCTCTCATTAGAGGAAATAACATCCTAATTATGAAGCATGATCATAAAAAATAGAGTTTCTTGCTCAAGTTCATTGGATCTTAGATAATCACGGGGGCAATTTCCTTGAATATTACGAAGAACATGATAAAACAACTTAGCTTTTTTAAAATCAGAACTACTTTTTTGATAACTAAAAAACTCAGGAATGCTTTGAAACTTAGAAAATAATGAACAAAACTAATATTAGTTGACTCAATGGATTTAAAAATGCTGGTTGAAATTGGACCCTACAAATAATATACAATAAAGTCTTGCAACTTCATATATGACTATATTGCTAAGAAACATGTTAATTGAAAGTCGTGGTTTAGAAACTGTACACGATCGAACAATAACTCTAACAAATAGTTAAATACCTAAAGAGGGTGCGGCTATTTTTTCATTTTTTATTTCAACATAGAGAATGTGAGGTTAATCCAATCACTTTTCTAGTTGTAAGAGAATAAAAGATACAATGTCTCTAAGAAATTTATTTAGGTGATGGAGAAGAATTTATTTAGTTTAAAATATCAAATTCGAGTTTTTTTAACTAATTACTTAAAATGAAAGATGGAATATATATAGTATTAATTCTTCCAATTATTTGTAACGACATTAGTTAATATCATTAACTTTTTTTATTTTATATATACAAGTAATCATGTATTCTCGAATCAGTTTTCGCATCAATCAAAACTAAAGTCATAATTTTTTTAGTTTATGTCGACGTTAAAACACATTTAGCATTTAGCCGACTATTGAACTCCTTTTTACATCAAATAAACTTAAATTGGATATCTCCAAAGAATAATTATGCTTAATTATTCATAGATAGTAAGAGTTGAATCTTAATTTTGACCATATAAAGATAATTCTTTATGGTTACATCACATCAATTGATGTGCTTATTTAATATCTTAAATTAATATTATTATTTGTTATCTATTTTTAACTTAATCAAATGCATTTTAATGGTGAATAACAGGTGTACGTTAGCCTTCGTCAAAATAATAATAACAAAAGGTTGAGTTGGCAAAAATCACGAGTGGTGTAATTGAATCCAACAAATTTCGTTTATTATATTTATAAAAGAATTAAAAATTAAAATGGTTTGGGTCAAAACCGTAGGCCCAAGTAACTGAGCATAGGCTGAGACAGCTTTCGTTCTACGGTACAGAAAAATTGGGCCTCTTTAATGCAAAATGACTGCATTTTATAGAAATTAATTACACCACTGATAACAGAATTTAATAAATAGAATATTTTCTGTGATCGAATGTGCAAATATTAATATTTTAATCTTTAAGAATATTTGAATATATTGTAAATGGTGGTGATAACTTCATTTCTCTACACCGATAT